TGCATAAGGTTAGAATGCTATTAAAACCTACTTACCTTTTCATGAATGCCTGTCTGTTTTTTCCCATGTTATGGGTTAAAAAACTGCAACATCAATTTTAAATACTATTTGTCAGTTTCTTTTTGTGAACAGTAACAGAAGGTCTTCAGGGTCTCAGCCCTTATGTCAAACCTGTCTATCTGTGATTAATGCTAGTGTCAAATACCCACTGCATTCCTTGTAATCAAAGCCCAATCCTGGTTGCATCATGGGTGGGCCACATGCCTGTAGTCATTAACTCATCAATACTCTTTTTCTACCAGAAATGCTTATGAAAATAACCTATTGGTTGTCCTGATTTTGAAAAGATTGGCTGTATTGTATCAGGTTAATAAGACCTGTAAATAGTCAGATATTCAATTTGTTTTTGTTTGTCTGAGAATGAATACTCCTGAGACAGCCGAGGAGATTAACTGACGTGGCAAATGACCCCAGGCTAACCTGACACCTGACCTGACATGTAGACACTCATATGTATGTATACTTGTCAAGAACTTACAGAGGAAGTGTGAGAATCGTGAAACTTTTCTAAGATTTACTTTGCAGATTGTCCTTGAAATCTTTTGTAAAGTGAACATGTGGGTTTGCTGCAAACCAAAAAAAGCATTGCTTCTCTGGAAAATAGAGCATTGCCTGAGAATATACGTGTCAGAACCACAATTGTTACCACTTTGGTCATTTGGTAATCAACAAAAGTAAACTGCATACTTTGAGAAGGTGTGCAGAAAACATTAAAATATGCCCAAAGTCAAAATTTTATAAAAGACCCAGTAGATATGTTTCAATTGCATGAAAATTAATGCAGAAAAATGGAAACATATACGGAGGAATTTTCAAATTTAAAGTACCATGCAAGTAGGATTACTAGTTTTTATCAGCGTTTAAAAAGAAGAGCAGTCATAAATCATTAAATATAAATATGTATTTATGTGTCCATATCTAGATACAAATACATAACAGAATATCCTTCCTGGCACACACACTCAAAAAAACAACAGCAAAGAAAAAAGATGGGTGAATTCATCCAGTTTTCGATTATGCTGCATCAGCATATTTAAGGAATACACTGACTAGCTAAATGCATGTCAAGCTCTTCTTTTAGAATATCATTCTTTTCAGTTTCCTTGCGCCCCGGGGCCCATGTACACCACCTGCAGGCATTTTACAACCACAAGTGATATATGTTCAGCTTTCATCTATCTTGCCAACCTTGTAATAGATATGTAATCCTTATAATAAATGGGTTTTAGACGCATTACAGCAACTAGAAAAAAAATGCAGACAAATTCTTACTCAATCTCAGGTGATGGATTTACTACAATTTATCACCAAAGCAGTCAGACATCTGTTGCCTATTGGCTTTGTATGTCCCTGTAGTAATATCAGAACACGGTGTTGTGTGCAGGAAACCTTTACATATTTCCTGATCACAGTAAAATACTTCAGGTACCTTATTGTAATGTAATTTTATTTAGAAAAACTGAATAAATTATTCAAATAGCTGTCACTAAGTTTCAGGTTTGCTATGATTTTGTACTTGGTCAAAATGAAAAGACATTGATGTCTGGCTGGATGCTGAATGTACTTTTTAAACCTACTTGTTTAGCTGCTGTTAAAAAATGTTAGTTCAAAATTTAAGTAGTAACACTTGAAGCTTCGTAAAAGCAGTTAAATGGAGGAGTTGCAATAGAGAGAAATGGGAAACTGTCAGCACTTCATTATTAAAGCATAAACATCATCAAATGTTTGGCAATGGCTAAAAGGAAAAGATTCTTAAAGGCTAAGCTGCTTAATACATCACGTATTTTAATTAACCTACTATTAGAAATTGTAAGAATTGATAGCTAGTTAAACCAGTTTTATGTATTTTTACAGTGCCAGCAAATACAGTCTGTGCTTCAACCTCTTCTAGTGCAAACACCTGAATATTGCAAGAGGGACAGATGACATCTGGTAAAATCTGTGTGGTTTCTCAGTGTTTTGTTGTAGAAAATGAAAACATGGTTGTATATAGACTGTGTGCAACCGTAGCCATGCTCTGAATGTTTGCTTACTGACATCCTAGTTAATTATTGTTAATTTAAATTCCTTTAGTGGCAGGAACACTTATGTTCTTCCTAGACTGTAACTGAAGACTTGCTGCCACAGCACACATCAGAGGGTTGTGTGTTACATTTTTCAACCACAACTTTGCTGAGATAAACAGTGCACACACCTTTGCGATTGCTTGACTAAATCCCATAATGCTTCCAAATAGTGACAGAAACATTTTCCTTTGTTTACAAATTCTTTAAAACCAACCAACAAACAAAAAAGACTGTGGGCAGTTTATAATCAAAACCATAAGAGATGGAGCCCTAGTGTCATGCATTGCGATATCTGTCCCCATTACAGAATTGTGTTATCAGGTTAAGAGGAGGAGGAGTGTTTGTACTTTTGACTGAAAATGAAAGTCATACCTTTAGATTTTTAAAATCCCCTGGCTTATTTTAACCCCCCAGGTTACCAGTAGGTACCTGGTACCTGCTGGTAACCTGGCCCAGAATCCCTGACCTAGAATCTTCTTACTGTGAGGCAGCCTGCACTGTCAATAATTAAAATGCATGTTTATAGGGTTTTGGAAGAAACCTGGGGTCACCGAGCCCTTGAATGTGGGGATTTTGGTGCAGAGAGCTGGTTCATTAAAAGAACTCTGAAAAAAAATTATTGTTTTATAAAAACATGTCTCCACTATCTTGACAACGTGGAAAAAGCCAGTTTTGATTGAATGGACCAGACTCTGACTGTTAGGGTTAGCTGTTAACCTTGTAGTGTGCAATCTAATTGCATACCCTTATTAAGGAGCATTCACATTTTAAACTTGGAAAGACCTAAAGAAAATACTCAAGGGTTCCTTGGCCATGACTGTGGGAAGCTTGAAGGTGATTGTAGCCTAACAGTTCTCATGCTCAGGAATGCTTTATACTTGGTAATATACAAGGCACTCTGTCAGAGGAGGCGGGACTTTTTGGTTTATGTATGTAAACGTCCAGTCATAGATATAATGTGTTTTAAATTTGTGTTTTGGCTCATCCAAGCAGAATGCATGGGAGGATAAGAGTTTAAAAACAAGCATAGCATACCCTAGCTTAGCTTAACTTAGCATAGCATGGCATAGCTTAGCAAAGCATTGTTTATTTTTCCACTTAGAGGCAAAGTCCCTGAGATTTATTAAAACTCTTTTTTGAAGGATTGCAAAGTTACACTTCGGTAGGTTAGGCAATGCAGATATTTTTTTCACATGATATGAAGATATGAGAATTTTAAAACATTTCATTAATAAAAAAAAACCTCATGAGTACATCATAGTAACACTTAAATGAATATAAAACTTTGGTGAACATTTTGTTATTAAAACAGATCAAACTAAGCCACAATTGTCACATAGAAGAATAGAGTAAGAGACTGAGTAAAGTTGGGATTATACATATCCGCAGACTTGGACAGGACACCTTTAAACACTGACAAGAAGTCATTCCTGTTAAGCTGGGTCAGAACTGTGTCTCTGTGTGGAGATTGGAGGTCTGATTGAGGCTTACGAGACGGGGAAATACCAAGATGCCCAGGAAAGTTGACGGAAGAGAAGATGGGTTGTTTTTCTGATTAAATATGGACTATAGACTTTACATTCTTCGTTTGACTTTTACATGCACAAGTACACAAATGGAGTGCCAAAAGTCAAGTAGTGAGGGTAGAAATGCTGCAGAGCTTGATCTGTCAGGTACGCAGGCTTCTTGCAGAGCTGTTGATGATTGAGTGTCAGGAACAGTGAAAGCTGGGGGCCATGAGGAATGAGGAAGTAGGAAAAAACACATACATGCCTTAGTAATGGGGTAGAAGGATACACGCAATATCACAAAGACAACTGTTGCTTGCTCTTTAACTCAAAGACCCTGTAGGTGTGACCCACACATAAACAGAGAGCACCTTTCTCGGAAATGAATAGATAACAATAACCAACAAAACCAACAATGTTGTCAGTCTATAATTATATAGTCCAAAAAGGTGAAGCTGAAGCTTCAACCTGTAATGGCTCAAACAACTTCCATTAGAAAATGAAAGCAAAAACATCACAGATGAAAAAAGAAAAGTATTTATACGTCATCCGACAATACAGACTTACACTTTTATATTTAAATATTAATCTGGAGCACATTTGTTTTCAGTACTTCACTTTAGCAGTCTTGGTAATAATTGATTTTGCTTTGTTCATTACATTTGATTAGGCAATTTGTAATCTACCAACTCCTATAACTAAAGAGATTTGTTGTTTGTCTATAACTAGTTCTTTATCTTAAATGCTGACTCATTAAAGTTCTTATAATAAACTACTGTATCGCTTAAAGTAGGAAGTTCCTGGGTTCAGCTCAGGCCTTTTGCTTTTCAAACCTCTCATTGTGTGTTCACAGATGTTTCTTCCTGCAATTCGAAGACATGCAAACTCACAAACTCTAACCTGCCTTTGAACATCAGTGTGAATGTTTGTCTTTGTGTTTTATCGCTGTGATGTCTAGGGGCATGGTCCAGCTTATTTCCTCTTCCTTCAGAATTTCTTTGATGGGGTCCAGCTGTGCAGCAACTGAATAGGATAAGTGGGAGTAGAATTAATGATTGAGAAATGACATTTGGGAACACACTGTGTATAGACATAGACCTTCTTGGTGCTTTTCCAAAATCGTGGTACTTTTCCAAAATCAGGGAAATCAGGTGATATGAGCTTTCCTATTGGAACTAACACTGGCAGCCACAGTATCCCAGTTTCAGTTCTTATCTTATCTACACTGTAGCTTACTCATTTTAGGGGCAGCTGAACCCATGTAAGGCTTAATTTCTCGATGAACTGGGAGACTTGTGTCCATTGTGTTCTAAAGTGGTGACTTCACTAATTGGCCCAACTTAGAATGGCGTCAACGTGAAAAGCAATGGCGTAAGTGATGACAGTTTTAGTCTGATAACCTGTCTCAGTTTGGATTTTTCCATTGCTACACTTCATTTTAGTGCATGGATTTCAGTGGGCTAGGATAATGTCATCTCTCAAGCTGGTAACTGCAAACTTATTGGTAAATTCTGATTTCAGCAAAATCAAATTAAAAGGCCCCAAATAGAGCGTAGAACTGCCTTAAGGGGCCGTTTTGAGGCACTGGGGTTCAGTCTAATTTATTGGTAATTTAAAGGTGGGCTAACAATGGTGGGTTTGAATTTCATCACCTAGAAATGCAGCACTCATTTATGTATTCTTGCGCATTAAAATCATAGTTTGTGCTGTTTTTTCCCAGTTGGTGTGGCTTTGAAACTAAATTAGTATTTAAAGAATTAAAAATGGCCTTATTGTAAATAGCTATTATCATAAGTCTTGTTAAGGCTTTTACATTGAATCCACTGCCTGCTGTCACCTATGCTTGCAGTCAGATATCATTTATTACACTATCATTAAGAGACTCTGAACAGTTCCATAAAAATGGTCTGTGTTTGACTCGAATGTACTTATACATTCGAGTAGAAACTGATAATTGGTAGAAGTGGAGCATAAACTTTGTTAAATTTACAGTAATTTACTGTAACAGAACAAACAAGAAGGGATCGACTTTAAGTTGTCTTAAAAAATGATAATAGCCCACATTTAAAACTTAACTTTATAACTTCTTTTTTAGACCATAAGTACATAAGCATAAGCATTAGTTTTGCATACAAACCTGATGTTCTGTGACGGATGACACATGTGGAGAATATTGTGGTCCAGGGAGCAAAGCAATAAAGTGTCTCTAAACAGCAAAAGGTACTTCAGGCATTAGTCTGGTAATGCTTAATAGTGTTTGCAGTGAATGGAATTCATTTAGGGGACCACTCACATTACACAACCTGCTGGGTTTCTACTTTGTCTGCTACTGTAAGGCAAACCTGTTTTGCTGTGTATTCATTTTGCATTCAGAACCAACAGAGTGAAACTTAATCTTAAAATCAGCTGGATACTACACTAGCCAAAAATGAAACAGTAGAAATTAATCCAATGAGTTTCACACACACAGGCAGAGTCGCAAGCATTCCCTCGTGAATAGCACCAACATGTGTTGACATGTAGGTTCAGATACAGGAGCACATTTTATGAACCATGTACACCCTCTTCTAAATAATTTAAAAGGAAAGCACAAGGACAATGATGACGTACTCAACAACTGTCTGAATAGAGCTCAAAGGATGCAGGTGTGATTATTTAAGCCAAAGGAATTCTGTAGTATGTGGCTTTTACATGCCTCATTTCTTTTCCTGAGCTTTGTACCTTGAAAGAATTTGAGACTGAGAGAAGATTCTGGAACTGGCACATGTTCAAACACATACAGTGGAGTCAAGTATCCATATGGTTCTTTTCATAGAAGATGTCAGATTTTGAGAACTTCATTTAATCTCTGACGGTAGAGAAAGTCACCTTTTTTCCCCCTTGCAGAATAACCCGAGTAGAGGTTCACACAAAACGTGCTAAGACAAACTAGATCAATCATTTCCTCAGAGACCTTGGGACCTTTCCTTTATTGTCACCAGAAGGTGTAAGTTTTCATTTACCCGGGGGGCTTTTTTAACAGCTATCAGATGGATAAAAATAAAAAAAGATTTGTCCTGAAGCTGTACAAGAGAACAAGCTGGAAGATCACATGGAAAGAATAACCTTACTCACTAGAATAAGTTTAAGTCTAGTAAAACCAAGATTTAAGGAGTTCCTTCAAGTGCTGTTTTTTCAAATAGTTTTACAGTAAAGTTGCACATTTGCCTTTCTGTGAAACCTTTTAGGACTGGACTATCCCTAAGCTATAGAAAATCATTGAAGGGTTACATGTTTAAAACAACAATGCATCATCCCCACAAAGCAAGTACCTTGACTGTAATGTCTCACTTAAATCCTCCATTATATGTCTGTATTCATCCTATTACAGTAACCTGTTACTTTGTAACTTGTTAAACCAACACTGTCCTTTTGTACAGATTTAACAAGAGGTATGCTAAATTGTAATGTCTTTACCCTGTGACCAAGAACATACTGTACAGACTTAAAACAGGCTGCCTCTTTGCAGTGGGGCCACGCTCACCATGTTATTAAGACTAATCATCTTGTCTGTTCCTTGCTGTTGGCTGCCCTGTGAACTTTCTTAAGTTGTGGCTAAAATGTGACCCTGTGCTGAGAGTTAAGTTGTTTGACTTTTCTCATGAAAGTGGCTTTCTAAACAGCTGACCCAACCGTTCATGCTGAGGCTATAAATGAAGATGGATGTATAAAAGCAGCTGCGTTCATTAAAGGCTTCGAATATATGAAATGACTGTAGACTCTTATGACAGTGTCGCCATTCAGGTATGCTGCATATATTCATCAGTGTATCAGATCATGTGATTTTAGAGTCATAAAGTATTACTCAACCAAGAGACATGACAGGGTACACTTTGCTCCACAACTAATCGGAGCTTACCGTCTTTTACAGCTGTCATGTTGGTATTATGACATCCAAACATCTAATGTCTTAGAAGTCCTACTAGTTTAAAAGAATTAAGGCCAAAGTTGATTTTAATTCATGTAAAAAAAAAGACAAACATGTATGTTATTTCTTTATGAATAATAAAACATATATTTATTGTTCTTCTTCTTTGCAAACAGCATATTCATTACATAAGACAAAGTAATAAGTTACGAGCACTATTAGCATCACTGTGTGATTAACACGTGTTTAGAGATATCCATGACAACACATTGCAGTGACCCCCAAAGAGCCACTGCACTAAAAATGTTTAGCACAATTAATTTACAGACAGCAGCGTACACATATATGTAATGTAGACGTAATTTTTGTCATGCTTTTGACATAATCCACTACACATAAGACATATAACATATAAGTACCTGAGTTTCATAAAAGTAATTTAAAAAATATGTGTAGATGTTGATATTCCTGGTACCCTATGTAGTTTATTTTTAATTAAACTAGGAGCAGTTAAGCTACAGAAATACATATGCCATGGTCATTGTAGTAAGATGGTAATTACTATACGCTACACAGTATTAGGTAGTTTTTATTATTATTATTATTATTATTTATTATTATTATTATTATTATTGTTGTTGTTGTTGTTGTTGTCAGGACATGGACAAAAACAATAATCTCACAAATGAAAGGATACCTTATACGAAGTTTTGCTACCAGCTAATTCCCATCTGCTCAGACCCTTTGTCAGGCATACACAGCACACACAGTTGTCATTGATGAGGATCCTAACTCCAACCATAACCAAAACTCTAATCATAGACAATCAGAACATATGGCGTTTTGTTTATGTTATTTTCCCAAGTCAGAAAACAAAGAATGAAATAACTAGACTCATCCCATCAGTATATAAACAATATAATAAATCTGGGTGATAAAAGGTAGGAAAAAATGTAGACCTCGTTAATGCTGACGTCAGTTATTTATTTTAATCCATTCTTTTGCATGATATGAAAAGAAATGGGCTTAAATGAAAAGGGTGGCTGGCCTTGACGCTATTTCCGTTTTGCAGATTGGTTTAATGGTGCATGTGCATCAGTGTTAACTTTTTTAAAAACAAACATCTGAGTACTAGTTTAGGTCCTGGAAAGGTAACATTTTGGTGTTGTCTAAGATATCACAGTGGTGATAGCATTGTGGTTTCCAGTCCAAAACCACATGAGCTTATGAAGTAAGTTCTTTGTTTTAACTTGAGACCAGCAGGCGACACATATTTGACAGAAGGAGCATCACATGTATGAAAACACATGCTTGACACAGAGTGAGTTTCTAATAATTCTGAAAATAGCTACATGTATACAGCATCTCAGTGTGTTACTCATCTTCTTGATGTGCTCTCTAAGGTATTTAACTTCCTCCGTTAAAATTTAAATGTTAACTGATCATGTAAAAGAGTCACACTGGGAGCAGGGAAACATACGCACATGCACAAAAATGTTGCACATGCAAACTGCATCTGAAGAATTTCAGCAGAGCCCTGTGAAAGGGCGTTGTAAAGAAATTAACTGTACAGTTAATCTCGTGCTGTGTGACTCTTGTTTCCATAGGCCTGTTTTGATAGCTCCCGTTCTGATGGCCCAACGCACTCCAGTATGTGCACACCACTGAGGACGATCAACGACAGCCTCAGCCACAGACGACGGTACATGGTGAGACACTGATGACATGACTGCAGGCATGTGGTGTGGGGTCAGTGGTGCAGGGTTTAGAGGAAAATGGAATTATTCCGACTTCTTCCTAATTTGGGACAAGCTCCAAAACGTGTTCTTACAGTTCCCATAATGAAACTTGATATCACTGGCATCTTAATACATGTGGGCTCAGAACTTGTATGTGCATGACAAAAATGCTGCAACGTAAATTAGCAAGGTTTTTTAAACAAAACATAGGTAAACAGATTATTTATCGAGTGACTGACCCACATGGGGACGTAATCATAATTAGAGCATTTATATCTTCCCTGTGTGGGCAAAAACATCGAAAATCGAAATTTCTTTCCATGTGTCAGGTCAAATAGTAAATTTCTACAAAACATAAAAGAAGTAAGTTGGGTTGCAAAATCTATGTGGTAATTTTTGTTTTGCTTTTTCTTTCCTTTACAGAAACACAACTTCCCCATCGAGTACACCATCAAGGTTTAAATAGGGAAATCTTTAGACTGTCAAATATCAGCCGAATGGTAAAGTCATAAGACAACCTCTGTTTTCTATATAAATATTTTGAGAAGGTCTTGCTAATAAAGTCTGAGTGTGAATGGTGATGTGATGAGTTTGTCTTTTTCCTCTTTTTCCTTCATCAGAAGTTAAGAACAGAGGGGTTGAATGACCTGGTTCTCCAGAGGCTGTGGTTTCAAGTGTATCAAGGTGTTTTAAAAAAGGTAAGAACAGAGCTGTTACTAGTGGAACCTGTTTGTGTTGCTGGTTGCTCTGAAATGTGGATGTGTCGTATATCATTTGTTTGTCTAAGAAGAGCTGATGAGAGACTGCTGGGGCCATCGGCCCATTAAGCTAATTAGACATTTAATTGGATGTAGACAAATGCATGACGCACCAGTTAGTCTCAATTTACAGTAATGCTGCAGGGATATAAAACCTTTTGCTTTGGAATTATTTATACCCTTGTTCTTTTGTAAAACGTATTCATACCCATAATCTTTTCGGTAACTTGTTCTTGTACATGTCAGAGGAGGGCGAGAGGGGCCTTAAGATAATTTAGCTATCCTAAGTTAACTTTATGGCTGAGCAGCGGGCTGATGGAAAAATAAACACAAAAGGAAAACAGATTTTTCTACCCTAAGGTAACTCATAGCACCAAATCATAGCAGTCATGTGGTGACTAGAGACCAAAGAATTCCAATGTAATTTTGATTTGTGGCTTTGGCAGGCAAAATAAGAATTGGCTGCTGAAAATGGGTGGTACCAGGTTGAGCTGATTCTAACTTTGATGGAAAGCGGTTAAAGAAACTACCAATGCGAGCAAAGGTTCACATGACTGACATGTGAAGGGGATGCAGAGCCTGGAAAACCTGGTGCCATCCTGTTTAGCTACACAGCAGTGTGGCTTGAGATGTGGACACAGCTTAAAGTCCAGTTTACATGTGAATGTTTGCTTGGTGTTAAAACATACTGTCAGGACAAGCCAAAGGAGGCAACTTCAAGCACTTAGTGGTGAACAGAAAATATCAGTAAAAAATCTCCACACTAAGTATAAAAGGCTTCATGTCATGCCAAAGAAATGTCAACGAAATAAATAAAATCTGTAAATTTCACGCCATTTTATTCATATTTCAGGACCACAGACAGCTCATAGTCTTCTTTTCAGCATGCTGTTCAGTGAACTGGCACATCAATTGCCGCTTACGCTGAACACAGAAAACAAGTTACTACACACAGACTGGGCCGTAGAACTTTTAATTAAGCAAATTCAGCAAACCACTAGATTACAATGCAAACAAGCATCAATTTGTTTTTGTGGGGCATGTTCAGTATGCACATGTGGTCCGGGACAGATTTTTGGCTGATCCTCGATTAGATGGGCAGATGATGAAGTTTACATCATGCCGACCCATGGGGACACATGGAAGCACAAATGAGCTTTAACTTTGCAAGCTAGCTCAGACAGTCCATCTGAGACCTTGACTTCTTATCACATTCACATGACAAACTCCTTGCACAACATCAGTCCAACACACCCTGTCATTTAAGCCAGAATTTTTGGTTCAGTCACTTGCTGCATGCTGTACATGCGCTCAGGTTACCACCCTTGCAACCACCCTTAACATACTCCTTCAGGCTGCTTTGTTACCCACATGACATTCATACAATTAGGAAATGTTTGGGAAAATTTGGAAAGATTTTGTGCTGAGTAACATGAAACTAAACCTGCGGGAAAACGCTGTCCACCTCTTGCCTATTGTGCTATAAAACTGAAAGTTCAATACCACCTGTTCCTGTTGAGTGCCTCGATGCTTTTACGTTTGGAGGGGGACCAGTTTCTACAAGCACTGTCAGAGTGGTAGTGGCTTTGACTGGTGGATCTGTTTTTGTTTTAGTTAGCACTTTCAATTTTATTTTATTTATATGTAAATGTATGTACTAGTGATTAGTCTACCTCACCAGCCTTGCTACCTCAGTACTACTGTGTGTTTAAAGGTTTGCCCAGAGCCTTGGAGATTCTAATCTATGAATATAGCACGTCTTTGGACTGCTAGTTCATTTTGTGAATTTCTTATAAATAACACTGATAGTGTTCCAGTAATAATAGTTCATAATAAATGGTTACATTTTCCCTTAACACTGTGTAGCATTTAATTATTTTATATTAAAACACTTTATGCACTAACATTCCTTGCTGAACAAATCAACACCTTTAATGCTGTATAAACTAAAGTCAAGTTGAATTTTTAGATCCTCTGGGTTTTGCCAACGAGACATCCTTCACGTCCTTACACAGCCGAGTTGGAAAGACGCTTCAAGGATGCTCAGGCAGTCTTTATGCAGTCACATCCTGCTGAGGTAAGTTTCTATACAGCATGCGCACCAGAGCTGCAGTTGATGTTAGGTATTAATGTTGCTTTGATTGTATTGTTAATATTTAGAACCTGGGTCTTTTCTATGTTGTAGTGTTAGTCAAAAGTAAACATTCCAGACCTGTTTATTCAGTTTAGACAGCTTACTAAACATCTGACAATTTAGATTAATTCTATAGCTGTCCTGCTTGTAAGTTTAGTTTAGTTAACATCCCCATTAGCCGCAGCAGAGCAGCAGATATTCTTCCTATTTCCGAGTTCAGCAGACAGTAGGTGAAGAAATCTGACCAAGTCTGTGAACATAATTACATCCTGTTCTTCTTTTTGTCCAGCATTTTCTCTTGTCCTCTTGACTGAGTAAAATGGAACATTTGGTACAGAAAGGCGACCTGTCATATTTTCCAGTATCATATTTTGGACCTTACATAACCCCAAACCAACCACATTTCATTATATTTGGTAGGAAAATGGAAAATAGGTGCACCAACGTATTGAAACATGAGTAAATATACATCAAAATACAGTATATAAGACAAAACTGGGTTTATATAACTCTAATAGCTCCAAAGAATTGTTTGGTATGACCACCTTTATTTAAAGCTTATTCATTCAAAGCCTTCTTTGGGATTTTGGCTGCCTGTTGTTCTGTTTTCTGGCTTCAATAACATAAATCCTGAGAGACCAATCCATGGCTAAAAGAGTTTCAGAGTGTGTTTTTCTGTCCAGGTATGCTCTGGCAGTGTGTTGGGATTATTTTTTGATGCTGAAAAATCAAACCTCTACCAATCAGATGATTTCAAGATGATATTCCATCAAAAAGTCAAAAATCAAAATTAAAATTGGATCAAAATCTCAAAACCAATTTTAACAAGATCTCCATCACCACTGGCTGAAATCCAACCATGGCAGAGCATCCAATGCACTTTACAGATGACCGTAGACACTCACTGTTGTCCTCTCTGCTGATCTCCTCTGTATGCATTGGTGACGATTTGAACCAATAATGTCACATTTGGATTCATTACTCCAAAAGATTTGGGCTGATTCCAGTCCTTGTGCAATTTGGCATACCTCAGCCTTTCATCGCTGTTTCCCTTCCTTAAAGTGGTTATGTTAGCTATCTAGTGACAGAAACCAAGGAAACTAAACCTAAACAACATCTAAAGGGGTCACTTGCACTTCCTTGGTTGTAACAATGAGTTTTATATTAAAAAAAATATAAGGAAGAAAATAATAACAAGGATATATTTTCACTCCTATCTTTAAAGCAGTCAGTGGTTCTTCATTGTTTGCCTGCTCCAGTAAAATGGGAAAATCCACCTGTTAGGTTGTAGAGAACTGTGTGGAGGAGAGCCTGTTTGAGTCAGGTGCACTGGTGGTTCACTCGACCAACAAGTTGAAGTCTGACATTACCCTCTCTGTGTTTTATTTTTTCCTTCTCATGTTCGGTGTACGGACAAAAGTGGTGAAATCAGCCTGCATGCCGACAAGATGCGATCAGCGCTGTTTTATGTGATCTTAAGCTGTTATTTAACCTCCAGTTTTATCAGGATTAAGTCTTTCTTTTCACAAATTCCCAACCAGCTTAAAACATCACAGGTTACTCTATTACAAACATTTTCTGAAGCATGATCAGAAATCTTAACATCTCTCTGGAGGTCAGAAAGGAAGAAAATCTCCACGTTACAGTTGGGCTTTCCCCCTCACTTCTATTGGAGGTAGTAAAAAGTATCGACTAAGGTGAAATAATGTGTTTAGTCATAACAATTTCCACACCAGTATGCCAAAGAATTATTATAACAAAAAAAATAAGGTTTCCAAAAGCTATATCATGTCTTCTTAGGGGGCTAATGAGTTTTGGTCTGTCACACACATCAGCCAATCAAATGAATCCCATCCAATCCAACTTTATTATATAGCACTTTAAAAACAACAAAGTTGACCAAAGTGCTTTCCAATAATAAAACAGAGATAGCAGTTAAAAACCATATATTAAGCAGACAGAGAAATAAATATAAATAACAATAAATAAATACAAGATAAATACAAAATAAAAGAAGATAAAAATAAATCTGTATACATATTAAATACATGAGTAAAATAGACAATAAGATTTACAATGAATAAAATTGACAAAATAAAAAGATTAAGAGTGACCAACAGCTGACTAAAACTGACTACAGGCTGACTCTGGTCCTACTCCTAAAAGCCTTTGAAAAAAAGTGTATTTTTTAAAAGATTTAAACATTTCAAGTGTTGGGGCCAGCCTAATATGGAGGGGCAGTTTATTCCATAATTTGGGGCCACAACAGCGAAAGCCTGGTCCCCCCGGTGTTTCAGTCTGACATGGGGACAGCAAGGAGTGACTGGTCAGTTGATCTGAGAGACCTTTGTGGAGTGTATCGGTGAAGAAGGTCTGACAGGTAAGAAGGCGCCAGGTCATTTAAAACTGTAAAAGCAAACAATGCAATTTTAAAATGAATTCTAAAATGGACAGACAACCAATGTAAGGAGGCAAGAACAGGGGCTCACATTTGTGTGTCCCTGTCAACAGGCGAGCAGCAGCATTCTGGACCATTTGCAAATGTGATAGTGAAGCCTGATCAATACCAATATAAAGTCCATTACAATAATCAAGGCGAGTGGTCACAAATGCATGTAAACTCTCTCCAAGTCACAAAAAGAAATAAAAGGTTTTACTTTAGAGAGCTGCCTCAGCTGAAAAAAGCTATTTCTCACCACTGTATTTACCTGAAAATGAGAGAAAGGTGGCATTAAAAAAACATAAAATATCTCACAGACATGCTGATAGATGTTAGGATTCCTCATCATGCTGCAGTAAGAAAGTTAACTATGTTTGTGACGTAACCTGCCACATACATGTTATAAACTGATAAACCCCGATAAAACTGGGGGGTTGAATTACGCCTTTATATGACATAAAATAGAGCTGATGGCACGTTGTCAGGATGCATCTCGTCTGCTCTTCTCTGACCTGTTTGGTCTGTCCACCTGTCCTTTCACTTTGTCTGCTGTAGACAGCTCTTTAGGCATGTCACTTCTCTTTTGTCCACCGCTTGTCAAGTCTACTTCAATCCAGGCCTTTCAGTTAATAGATCTTTGGGAATCATCTTGTCGGTGCAAAATGCTGTTTTATGCCAGTCAGAGTGTGCTAGCTTTGGGTCTGGACTGAAAATGACTGAACAAGCCGACTTGAAAGTCTAGTCCTGATCGTTGCTGGGATAATGGCTTTGCCATTATAGCTGACCACTATAATGATTGAATGAACTTTCTCCTGTAAGGGTTAGGGTTAGGGCAGAAAGTCACTTTTACTACTGTGGGTATATTTCCCTTTAATTTTTTCACAATTACTAGTTAACCCAATAGTTTATATTTTCCATTAATTACCTTCCTGTTATATCCAAGCATTGTAAAATTTGAAGATCCAATTTTAACATTTACCAATCCAAAAGCTTTAAAATGAAAAACTGCTAATAAGTGAAGTTGGTGTTAAACAGAATACAAAAAGTTAAAATTCAGGATACTCCATAAATACATAACTGGCAGACCAAGTGATCTATTTTCCACAAGTCGGTGTAAAAGGACAGGTCCCGAGTTTCCTTTTAAAGGAATCCACACAGTTGGTTTAATTTTAGGTTTGCGCTCAAAGCAAAGCATAGGTTAGATACCAGAGCCTCAAAACTCTAATCACCCTGAGCCCTTGGGTGGCTGCAAGGCTGGTCTGTACAGGTATGAAGTGTGTGAATGAAACTTTTGGAGACTAAAGGTCAACCTGGACAGCTGCTGTAATATGAATTAAAGCATCTGCTGGCTTTCTCTGAATGGAAATGCAGGGATAATGTGGAAAAGATGCGATTTATGTGATCAATCTTACTTTTTTGTTTATCAAGTAAGCTTTTGTACTATTTATCAAGTCACATAAGTGTATACAGACCTTATAGCTGCCAGTGTCACATTCTAAGATAGAGAGATTTTATTCTAATAACACCTTATTGATCCCTATTTTTTGATTCAGGCTAACTGACTCACTATGTGTTTGTGTTTTTTGTGTGTTTAGGTCTTCCAAGAGGACCTTCCAGAGAAAATCCAGGACATTTGGGATAGTTTAACAGAAAAGCCTGAAAACATGCCAGAGTCTAGTGGCGATTTGCTACTCCAAAGTCTCTCTTGGACAATTGTGCCGCACCATGTACTGCCTCTTCAGTGAATGCTTTCCAACGCAGAACGTCAGGAAGACTGTAAGTATAGACAGAAATGACACTGTAGGCTGTAATTGTTAAGAACATCCCATGTCACTTTTAAATGGGTTCATTTCGTTAAGATGATGTCGGGTATAACTCCCCAAACAGCTCATTACATATGTCAGTCTTGATGTTAGATTCTGCAGATGTTTCCTGTCAGACAGGACTAAATATTTTATGAAACTCAGGGATGATAGAGTGGAAGTACATTTTTCAGTAACGTAGACTTTCCAGCAAGGAAGCAAGTGTCAAATTAGAGCCTTATAAGAAGGCTGTGGTTGGGAATCATGACAGTATACACACATTATTTTTGGGTTCTAGCACTGCTGTGTTATGTAAGTGTCCTGCTGGAACACCTAGCCAAACTTTTGATGCTCTGAGTTGTCCTGCAGCCTTTGCCAAACCATCTGGATGAACTGTGTCTCAAGATTTTGATAAAGTGAAATGATTGAGCACACACATGCACAGAAAAACACCGTTTGCATTTAACTTTTGTTTAAGACTCGCATCAGCAACAACGTTAAAACCACCTGACAAAACAGCACGAGAGGCAGAGTTTTTCACTGGATGACACAACTCCAAAGGGGATTTGTTTCAAAAAGGTCTCGGATCTGTTCTGGCATGATCTTTCACTTGCCTGAAAGAGAAGTTATATTGTTATACTGATTATGTGGCAATAAAACATGATGAGGAAAGCTAATGTGTAAACGCCTAAATGAGTTTCTCTTCTCATTTGTTTTCAGACTGTGAAGTTTCTCATTGGCGGAAAGGCAGGAAGAAGACATGCAGCCCGAAAGCTGAGAAGAAGCAAGCGGAGTCAAGTTGTCCCTAGTGATTAGGGATTAGTATTATTTCCCTGAGCTATAGGGAGATGGGTAAAAGGACAATACACACTGAAATGAGAGTTCAGACCTGATTTGTGAACATCAATAAGTCTTTTCCAAATCTGCTATATAAAGCTAAGATTATCCAGAGTTTGTCCTCATAACTCTGTGTGTCAAAGCAGATGGAAATTAAAGACATAATATCTCTCAAACCTTTGTGAACCTAAAGGCTTTCTGTTAAATGACATCAAATGAATTTTTGAGTAAAAATGCCAGCTCATTGTCTCTTGGCATCCTCTCAGATTAAGATTATAGCGTTTTTGGATCAGATTTGCTCATGTTCACAAATAGCGACTGAACTGATGTGTGGTCAATATTTTATCTAAGGTGGATTCTTTCTAAACAAAGGGTTAATGCTCACCTGCAGCTTCGCCAAACCACTGCTCAAAAAGTTGTGATGCGTTCCTGCGAGTCTGTGTGGTTCACGTCAGAGGCCGAGGACAGATTGGGAACTTCAGCTGACTTTGTACATTTGCTAGAATTCTCCTCTTTTGAACATCAGTGTGCTAAAGCAGGAGCAGTGTATATGAACTCCAAGCGTAAATGCAAACTGATAACTACTGGTCTTATTCTACAGTTGTTGACTGTACATTTTTATACAGCTGCCCAGACTGCTTAGCCAAGGCTGTTGAAAAATGTGTGCTCATTTTGGCTCCATTTTATGTATTTTTTTCCTATATGTTTATTATGCAAAGAATGAGATTGGAAATGCATTCATCTCCCTCCATCCAACCTATGCCTTTTATACTTGCTGTAGATCTCTTATGATTTTTTTCATGAGGCAACTATTAAATAATTTGAGGACTTACTAGCTAAACAAAGCTCAAATGATTGTTAGCATTTTAAATATGAAGTTAAATCACAGTCAGATGTTGTTTGCCCCATAGTTAAGTTATATTCTATAAAAAAATATATAATAATAATAATAATAATAATAATAATAATAATAATAATAATAATAATAATAATAATAATAATAATAATTGACACTTCTGTCTGTTGTCCATTATCTTGAGTTACCCCTCACAGAATTTTAACTATGAACATGTTGGAAATGCACACAAAGACAGTTGCAAAACCGAAATGTAAAATTCAGCTCAGTGTAGTTGGAACATTAGAAATCTTGTGGGATTGTTCTCAGCATTCAAATAATTTTCAACACATCCATACTGAGATTTAATATCAGGTTCCTCTGCCATTTTCTTTCTGTCAGAGTTAAGAGTTACCCCTTAAACGATTCAAATCGAGGCAAGGTTATGAGAAGGTAAGGCAAAGAGAAACATACAGTTTACTACAGAAGTTGGACTTTTGGCTGACAAGCACTGTAAATATGTGGAAAAAAAGGAAAATGTAGGCAAGTCAACAAGATTTTCATGCAATATCACTTAGAGTTTAAACCTTTACGCACGGGAACAAGCTTCAAGATGCATTTCAAAGTTCACAAAAAGTGTTATGGTGCTTCTTCAGTGGAGTTTTGGACTTAGAGAGTCTATTCTACATGTGCAACTATATAAATACTGACTGAAAAAATGTTTTTATGATAGGCGTAGTGCACATAAAAAAACAGACCCATCCATAGTTCTGTGGTTTCCTCAGCAGCTAGTGTTTCTGTTTGGAGTGCCAGTGAAGATTCACTTAAAAAAGGCCCTCTACACAGATTTGTCAAATACAGTAGTCGACAAACGTAGTGAAGTAAAAAGTAGTGCAGTTTCAGCTTTCTTCGGGGTGTGTTAATAGCCAGAAATCTAGCTTCTTACATGCTGAAATGTTCACACCCTAACCTCTTTTTTGGTAATAATTAACTCTGATTCTCAAATTGCTAACTAACCAGGGGCTGGATGTGATCATGTACACTTCAATACAGTAAATGCTTAACATCTTACTGAGCAGCTGCTGTGTCAAGGCAACATCAACAACTGTAATGGGTTGCATAGTTTTTTCCCCCACACTGGAGCACATCTCTGTGGAATTTTTCTTATCTCTTATTATCAGCCAAACTGCAGTTTGGTGGGGAAAAAAAACAGCTGGATGAGGTAAAATGAACAGAAAAGTAAGCAAAACAGCAAGCCATTAAAACAAAGCAGCTTATGCTAATATTTTCAGCTCGCAACCATCAATTAATTTCAGCTGCCATAGCCATATTTCTAAACTCGGCCATTCAACACATTTAACTACTTAAGGCAAGGGTGAGCAGAAGTTAAAGGGAGTTACCTAAAGGTCATTTGTTCTTATCAGGATTGAAAGCATACTTCATATTTTCTTGTTGTTTGAGTAAACTCTATTATACATGCTTCATTTGATTATTGATGATGGTGACGTGAAGTTGAGGCTAGGTGTTCGAAAGAAATCTTGAGACATACAGAAACATAAACATAACAGTAGAAAAAGAAAACAGGCATTCTGGTAGTAGTTTCAATGATTTGTGAGGCATATTTGGCTTATTTAGGAAACTTAAACTTTATGAATACAAATAGACTTCGTTTAAAGAGATTTAATCTAATTAACTAACTCACTATGTTAACAGGTTCTCCACTGAAGTATAGAAGGCAAACCTTAAACCTGCTTTGAGACAATGCTGAGAAAAACATTACCATTTGAACTGATATAGTTCTTTAATGCACAAGTTTCAAGCAGTTATAAAGAGCAGCGTTTCATAACGTTACAGCATGAAGGGTGGGTCGGCCTTTGAAACTGTTTGGCACGGTCACTTACTGAAGACAATCTGCTCACCCCATCATGTGCCACTGTTTTCCTTAGACTGTTGTTTTTCCTCATTATACTTTCCATGCACAGCGTTCATTGCTTTCAAATCCCAACATACTGGTTCAGTCAGTTTATGGTGCAACATTCCCATATCCCCTTATTTGCGTTAGGGCTGAATGTATTTATTATCATTAGCAATGCTAACAGTTTCAAAAACACACTTGAAATGCCTGTGCAAACATTGCAAAAAAAAAGAACTGGTTTATCGTACCAGCTAGGAGCAGTCATTATCCTTCCTTTAAGATTGTTATGTTAAAGGATACTGTTTGTTGAAATGAAACATGAAAGAATTTAACTTAAACTAAAATAAATTATATATATACACATATATATATATGACTTAATATGAAATATAACATTGAAATATAAATGTAAGTTATCCAAAACTGCATTACATGTATTTGCATTTTTTGCACATTAGAAAAATTGTTTCATTTATAAGACTTCCGTATTTGTTTCTCGTATGGAAAAATGCTTTCTAATTTGTTCATGAATTCACTCCAAACATGAAATATACACGTAAGCCTCGCAAGCCTGATCTTGTCACTCTTTTGGAGGGAGAACGATGATTTTCATATATTATATTAGCATCAGATTTTTAAGGGGCAAAACTTGGGTTGGTTCTCATGTGCAAAAGATGCTCTGGAATGATGTAGACAAGGAACAGCAGAAATTGGTGTATTTCTATCACACTTTCTCAATCACATGTAAATGTATGGCTGTTTTTTGTAACCCACAAGAGCGAGATGTATTCGAAAATCCCTTTTGTGAAAAGTAAGTAATATTTCCTGCCTGGCAAACACATGGATGGCTTATTGTCAGAAAATAGATCTTAGGAACAGATTTGTTGTTGTTTTTTATACTCGAGATATTGAATATTTATTTTCTTTTTTAAAAACTGTACTTTGCTATAAGAATACTTTTATTAAAGAAATAAATAATAAATTGCTATTTTTTATCAACTAACCCTGTATTCAGTCCTGTGTTTTTGGAAAGAGTGTCCAAATATGATTGTGCACTATTATTTTACTATTTTTAAGAATCTTGAATAATAAAATGCAAGTTGGGGATTTTTTAAAAAAGTTTAATTGATTATTAGTAGAGCTACTGTGCAGATTGATGTTTTAAAATTAGTTTATTATTAACTAATCAGCGTTACTTAATCAGCATTGCATAAACATATCAGAAATATAATTTATCTGGCTGTGAGGAGTATTTTTTAAACTATACTATGCAATGAATATAATAGTAGGTAGTGTGCAGCTTGCCATGTGACATGTGGTCGGGGGGGGGGGGGGGGATCCTATTCCTCTGCGGGGCAACCTGCATATGGCCATTAAAGCATTCAATTCAATTCAATTCAACTATTCAAAATTCTTATTTTCTTCCACCCTGAAAACAGATTAACGAATAAAATCGTGAAAGCTTACTCAGTCTAAAGTTCGTTTTTTTGTTTTGTTTTGAAATCATTATGCGATCGCATGTTGTTTGTCCCTCTGCATTCACCGTAGCCCATCCAACAACTTCCGACAGGAAGTTACGATATGGAGAATGACAGAAAAAAGCTTTTCGGATGTAAAAATAGTTTGAAAATGAGTATAAAAACTCCCAGTTGCGTTGTAGTTTTTAAATTGCTTCGAATACGAGTTCTCTTTTTTGCAACAGAAATTAAATGTCCTCATCAGGGCATCAATGAGAGGTTTATTTTGAAAGTTCTACCCGGAAGTCTTGTGTTTGATCTCGGCTGGCCTACTTAACAGCAAAACAAGTAGGTGTTTACTGAAGTTGTGTTATAAAACAGTCACTGGGCACCGACATTTAAAAAACAAAAACTGGACAATGGTCTCCGGCGGTGCAATTCAGATACCGAGCCGTCTCCCGTTGCTGCTGACCCACGAAGGAGTTCTTCTCCCGGGCTCCACGGTCAGGTTCAGCGTGGACTCCCCACGGAACATGCACCTTGTCCGAGAGCGGCTGCTGAAGGGACTTCGCTGAAAAGCACCATCATAGGGTGATTCCTAACACCAGAGACCCGGAGCACGACACCGACGACCTCCCCACGTTGCACAAGTAATGAACTTGTAGCTGTGTAGCTTTCTGTGGGTTTACACGGTTGTTGTGTGGAGGTGTGACATACAGCTGATGGGTCCCCTTCAAGTTGTCATAAACGTAACAGGTCACAACATCTCTGCAGGATAAGGAAGAAGATCAAATATATTTCCAGTACACAGGAGTATTTTATGTGTTTAGACGTCTGTAGTGTGTGTCATCGTCAGGGGAAATGTACTGAATATTGGGTAAATCGAAACTCAATGCATATTTGAGCATGTACTTTACCTACCCCCCTTTTTTAAACTATTATTTGTTCTAGAAACATCTCCACTTTTACTGTAGCCATGAAGTCGGAAACGGCCGGGCAAGCACAGAGAAGCGGACTTTAGCCTTAATCAGTGGACTCCAGATCAGTAGGTTACCAAACAGCGTGTTCCTGTCTCTAGATTGGTTACCAGGAAAAAGATGGTTTGTCCGACACTGAGTTAATCTGTGAGGAAGGTGGTCATGCTATCTTAAATCATAAAAATTGTAGAACATTTTCTCAGATTTCCCTAAAAAAATGTACGATTTCAATTTTGATTGAATGATTGAATGAATGATTTAAGGCTTTTTTAAATATATATGACTAGTTTAAATGTGAAAAATAAATCAAGCAATTGTATAAAGTTCCATATTTAAAGATGCACTAAAAAAATATGTGACACTGCAAAATGAAACCTGTAGAAGAAATACTTGAAATACTAGAAGATATCAGTGGGTAAGTTAATCCAAATGAAACACAATTCTGCCATTTCCAGGTGAGGCTCTGATTATAACTGAGGTAATAATTATAACTGAATTAAAGGCTTTTATCTTTAATATTTTCTGAGATATATTCATGCTGTAATGCACCCTCATTATTTCCAAGTGCAAAAAAACCCAGACCATTTTTCAAGAAAATGTATCTTGAAAACTACTAATATCTTACCAACAACAAAAATCACTTTTTTTTTTTTTTTTTTTCCAAAAATTAAGAGCTTTTTTTTTTAGGAAAATCTGAGATAGTTGAGCAGAAAGACCACATTGATTTGAGATGGAATGAATAAATCCTTATAATCCTCTGCAGTGAAGGACAGGAAATACTTGCACTTGCTCATGTAAATGTTTGGCGCTTATACTTAAAATGTAACAGGGTTTGAATGAAACTCAGATGCTTGATTTTCCACACACTACAGCACACTTGCTGCTTATATGAAGCTTAAAAGACACTGTGAAAGGCTCCAACACGATCAGAGGTGTGAATACTGAGGCTTTGCAAGCATTTAAAATCAGAACAGTTTGTTGTACTGCAGAATGCAACCTTTCAGTGAACTGCTTTTCAATGGCCACCTCATCTGTCACACACTCTCTTTCTCTCTCTGTGTGTGTCTGTGTAGAATTGGTACAGCAGGGATTGCAGTGCAGGTAGTGGGCAGTAACTGGCCCAAACCTCACTATACCCTCCTCATCACTGGACTGTGCCGATTCAGTGTATCGAGTCTGTTAAAAGAGCGACCCTTTGTCCTGGCAGAGGTAAGCTGTCGGTTTGATTTGATGTTAAAATATTGGAGCAATTTTTTTTTGTAAGATAAACCTAAGTTTCTGGATGTGCTGTCTATTTAATGAGCGACAGTGGTCATCATAAGTGTTCTGTTTTGTACCTGTAACGAAGCAGTAGTATCACTACATACTGATGATGTACTCTGATTTAGTCAATGTAAGAAGTATTCTTTCCTGCAACACTGTATTTACTAGTTGCCTGAGGGTAGATAATAAGAAATGTTTTGCTATTTCCTGTTGTTGTACAGCAATATTCTTTGTAAACACACTGTTAATGTTTTTTATGCTTATAGTAAACATGACAAAAGTTTCAGGTAATGGGGTTCCCATACTGTACAAGTGATCCCTGTGAGCCAAAAGCTCAGATTTCTGCACAGACTGCTGCAAACATTTTGCTTCTGATTTGGTTTTCTACTCTCAGCTTTACATCATGCCAATAATAGATGGCTTGGTCCTTAATATGCTAATCTCAGGCACATAGCTCAAGCCTTCTTTTTCCAAGGTCCAGCGCATCAGAAGAAATCTGACTAAAAAAGGGGGAAACTAGATTTAAATTGGTTTGATTCAAGCAGTAAAGTGGAGGACTGCACCAAGGTCAAGTGTAATATTGAATTTTCTGAACTGTAAATCATGCAAACCCACAAGTAATAGAAGTAGCATTAGTGAGAAAAAGGAGCAATAGCTGAACATTATAAATCCCCTAAAAAAACCCAACAAAAAATCAGTCTGAGAAGTTAAAGGTCACCTGATTCCACTACTTGCCAAGTCCAGCAAGAGGTTCAACAGAAGTTATAAGCTGCAGAAATAAAGTTTGTTGGCAAGTCAGCCAGACATGCCTAAGGCTGAGATTATAACTCCTTGTGCACATGGGAAGCTACAGACACACAGTTGTTCCTATTCAACAACTTTCAAGTCAGCTTAGGATGCCTGATGCATTTCATACGTGCTCCGTAGATCTACATCTATAGAAAGATGGATTCCTTATTCGGAAAGTCTTGGCAGTTTCCCTCCATGAATTACTACACGTTTGATTTTCTGTAAATCATTTAAAAGTCAAATTGTGCAGATGTGGGTGGACACTGATCGTTGTGTAGTATCTCTTTCAGGGGCCGTTTTGGGGTTTCCAGCACATGTGCAGCTGGCCCATTCAGAGTAGGAGTGCTCACTTTTCTAAAACCAACGCATCACTTGTACTGCGGCGTAATCACTGACCTCCACTGTCTAGTTATTAAGATGGGATTAAATTGAGTGATAGTGAGAATACATTTTTATTACCCGGTGTGAATTAAAAGTTCTTTTATCAGCATTTAAACAAGATCATCTAGTGTATGACTTTTATAACACCATTTCATCATTAAATAAAGTAATGAAACATGTTTTAGCATATTAGAAATGCACAATACACAAGTATGTGTGGCCTCACAATGTGACTCACTTTTTATTTAAAAAAAAAAAAATGACAGGTGAAGCAGTTAGATCAGTTGGAGCGGTATACGACCCCACAAAGAGATGCCACCGCAACAGATGATGGAGAGCTGGGGGAGCTGTCGGAGAAGTTCTACCAGGCTGCTGTACAGGTGTGTGTGTGTGTGTGTGTGTGTGTGTGCGCGTGTGTGTGCGCGTGTGTGTGCGCGTGTGTGTGTGTAAGAATTTAAGAGAGTGAGGTCGTAAAAAAATTCATGTCTTGAAAAACTGATTAAGTTAAAAACAAAAATGCCTTTGTAAGGAGGAAAAAAATGCCAAAAGGGCGGTGCAGACTTGAAGAGTGATGACTGACGGACATGTGAGGGTTCTTTAATATACACTAAAGTGTTACATACACACAAGAGCTGTTGCCTACAAAGAGACTTGCATTCAGCAAATTACTTTATATGTGGACTAAAACATTTCTTGATTTTTCACAGCCTGCAAAATCTATGATGTGTTTGTATATTCAAAAATATATATAATTTAGGCAAAAAAATTAGACACAACAACTGAAACGACTTTAACATGTGTTGTCTTGAAGAAATATTAACTGAAGTTGGATTGGGGCCAGGCTGTATTTTAATGAAATACCACTTTGCATTAAAATACTCTAAACTGTGAACATTCGTGTTTAGATTTGTGGAAAATTGAGGTATAGTTAAAAAGAATCATCAGAATTGAAAAAGCAGTGGAAAACATTTTTAAAACACCTACTGGTAAAATGCTGCCCCCTGCTGGCGAAAGTGTTGTTAAATTTAGCAGAATGTGCTTTTTGTTTTGTTTTTTTTACAAAAATTACTTTTGAGGGGAAAAACAGGGAATGCCACGTCTTCAGTAAATTTATATTGTTATTTGAAAATAGTCCCTTAAATTATAATGCACGTTTTAAAAAGTTTTATTTAGATTATGAAATGGCTAAATAAACACTAATTGTTGATACCCAGTCAACTATTCGATTTTTAAAAATGTATTTATTTATTTATTTTCATCTGGCAGATGATTTTGTAGAACAGCTCATGTCATTCTGAATTATTTTTTAGGCTGCTGTGCACGCACAGCGTGTGCTGTCTCCACAGCTTGTCAGTTATTTTCTGGTTAGAATCTTTTCTCTGCTTTGGCTGCCAAACAGCCTAATATAGTTCTACTGTCATATTTAAATATTTGCTAGTTGTTGTTGTTTTTTTTTCACCACAAACTACTTTTTTTCCTCTCAAGTATTAACTTTGGCCATACAGCTCAGTTTAAGTGTCATCTATCCACAACAATAACTCATAAAGCAGCTGTTTCATCTAGATGTTGCTTTGAATATATCAGATCCTGACTTCTGTACTGAGGTTGGAAGTTGGGTTTCCTCCTGACTTCCTTTCCACCTAAACCCTGTTTGCACATCCAACCAGCAGAGTGGGATGTACAAATCTATGTACAAATTAAGTTTGTGCGTGTCATTTTACAATGAAGCGATCTGCAGATTGCAGCTGCCACTGTATGCCCTTTACTTATAAAAACTTCATCTCAATGTTTGCATTGGCAGTTTATGTAAGAGCTTGTTGTCAATTATTTTCAAAACTTACCAAACTGTGAAATATGAACATTTTTGAGAATAATAAGAAACAGGCAACTTTTTAAAAATGTAATATAGAAGTAAACTGTGCTGTGCTGCAGCATGATGTGATGGATCAGACTGAAGATGAAAACATACACATGCAGTTGGACTTGATTTATTGTGTTTTTTTGTTTTTGTTTACACATTTACACGTGTGTGTGTGTGTGTGTGTGTGTGTGTAGTTGTTAGGTATGTTAGACATGTCTGTTCCAGTCGTGGCCAAGTTCAGGCGCCTCTTGGACAGTCTGCCGAGGGAAACTCTACCTGACGTTGTTGCCTCGATGATCCGCACCTCAAACAAGGAGAAACTCCAGGTGAATTCAAACTGTATACACAATCAAAGCTTTAGAAGAGCCAACATGTTTTTATTCATTTTTTAGAAATCAAAAAGGTTTTAATCTTGATGCAAACAGTTTCTGCAAGTGTTCTAACTTCAGTTGCTCTGCTTTTGCCAAATACCCATTTTAGCCCAATCTACTTGTGGCCCCTCCTGCAGTAAATCCTAGGTTTACTGCAGGAAGGGCATCCTACATCCTGAAATATGGTGATCCTTTTGATATGGCAACTACTTGGGACGTAAAAGGGAAGCGGACTCTTCTTCTTCCTCCTCCCCTTCTTCTTTCCTTCTAGTCTTCTTCTTCTTCTTCTTCTTACTCCTCCTCCTACTTCTTCCTACTGTTCCACTTTTTACATTTTCTTACTTTTCTTTTTCTTCCTCTACCTTTCTTTCCTCTTCTTCCTTCTGTTCTACGTCCTTGATATCCACAATATTTGACAGTATACTTAGAGGAGAAAGAGAGAGGTTTTGAAGCAATACAGGAACTTTCCACTTATTCTGCCATTTAAGGATTTAGTGCTTTATTTTTTAGCATGAAAGCACACATTGATGTGATTTTTGACTTTTTTTTCCCTCAACAATAAATCTTCACAATAAATAAAATGTGTTGTTTTCCATGTGCTGTGAAGGTCCTGGATGCATTGAGTTTGGAAGAGCGCTTTAAGAAGGCCCTGCCCATGCTGACCAGACAGATAGAGGGACTAAAACTGCTGCAGAAAACCAGGAAGACGAGTCCTGATAATGAGAAGAGGGTAACAGATGTGCAGTCCTTGTATGTTCACACTGTGATTTACATTCCAAATCTCGTGCTCACATTTGGGATTCCCCTCTGTTTAGGTGTTGGTGCGGAAAGGTACAGTGTTCCCAGGTCGACAGTTCAATCTGGATGAGGAGGATGAAGATGATGATGGTGATGACACAGCAGCCTTGGAGAGGAAGGTTCATGGGGCGAACATGCCTGAAGCTGCCCTCAAAATTTGCCTGAAAGAACTCAAAAGGTAAATTTCATACAACATATACACAATATAAAGTGTATTTGTGCATACTTCACAAACACAAATAATGCTGCTGCTTTTACTTGTTTAGACCATGTTTAGATCTGGCTCTGTTTGGTGTCTGTGTAAACATGATCCAGTACTGTAATTAGCCTTAAATACTTCAGTTAGATTGTTCATGTTCCTCTTCAATCTGTCAGATTGAAGAAGATGCCTCAGTCAATGCCTGAGTATGCCCTGACCAGAAACTACTTGGACCTGATGGTGGAGTTGCCATGGAGCAAAAGCACCAAAGGTAAATTAATCTGCAGACAACTTTTAATGGACGTCAGCTCAGTTAAACTCTTTGGGTTTGGTAGATTTCACTGAGCCGTAGTAGTGACAGTAAAAACTTTACAGACTTTGACATTGAGAAGGCTTTGATATGCAGCTGTCTGCTTTCCAGGTCAAAGCATCTACTGTGTTGATTAAGGCTGTCATCTTTTTAATGCGTTCTTAAACAATAATCAAAATGAAATAAACATTCTCAGTCTCTTTGGGTTTTGATTCGCACTCTTTAAGCTACATTTTTAAGGTCAACATATCCTGGACACCAATTATTTGAAAGCTTGGAGTTGTATTGGTAACTCATTGAAGTGTTATTGGCTATTCATAACCAGCCACTTTGCGCATACAGTTAGTTGGGTGGACTGAATCAGGCCAAATTAAATGGCGCTACACAGCGTCCCAGCATACATAATAATGCTTGAATTTCACAAGAACTGTTCTGGTTTGTCCCTGCTGATTGCAGGCGTAAACATGTAACCAAATATAAGTAATGACTCCAAATGTTAAGGGTAAGGGTTCATTTAGCAGCAGTGTCAGAGGTCACAACCAAAGTATGCGCTGCTCTCTGACATCTGATTGATGGACCTCTAAAATTTGCCAAACCACTGTGGGGCAAATTGTCTACCTGGTTTTTGATGTCTGTGTATGTTTCTTTGGTCTCACATTCAAATTGCTACTAGAGCAGGTCAGCTACTAACCAGAAGGTTGGTGGTTCTATCCCAGGCTCCTCCAGTCTGCATGCCAAATATCCTTGGGCAAGATACTAACCCCATGTTGCTCTCCGATTCATCCATCGGAGTGTGAATGAATGTGTATGAATGTTAGATAGTGAGCACTTAACAGTTTAGAAAAAGTGCTTGTGTGATTGGGTGAATGAATTAGTTGTATGAAGCGGTTTGAGTGCTCAGAGTAGAAAAGTGCTATATAAGAGCCTGTCCATTTAACTCACCTAAAACACTTAAACCTTCTAGACTGCCTGGACATCCGAGCTGCACGTACCCTATTGGACAATGATCACTACGCCATGAACAAGCTGAAGAGACGCGTCCTGGAGTATTTAGCTGTCAGGCAGCTGAAGACATCACTCAAGGTGCTTCCTTAATATCCCAGTCTACGGATGCTTAAAGATGAAATCTTGTGTTACACAAAGCACTTTTCTTACATTTGTTATGTATTAATCTTTGAGTTTCATACTGCTGTATCTGCTGTTTTTAGGGCCCCATCTTATGTTTTGTGGGCCCTCCTGGAGTCGGTAAGACGAGTGTAGGACGCTCGATTGCCCGAACTCTGGGCAGAGAATTTCACCGAATTGCTTTGGGAGGCGTCTGTGACCAGTCTGACATCCGAGGACACAGGTATGCTCATAAGATTGTTACGCAACTGAAGGTTTCGTGTCCACAGTGTAGACTGTGAGTTTTCAGGTTGCCCATGTATAGCAACAACCCCCAAAAAATACAAACTACAATAATAGACCTGAGATATGCTAGTTTTTTAACCGTTTTACCAGAGAAAACTGGTTTAACAGACGAACAGCTGATTCTGTTCGTCTGGACACTGATTGTTATTGTGGCTGTGGACTAGTTAATTTAAACTTTTCCATGTGTCCCTGTTCAAAAACATCTGAATACAATTAGTAGGTCATTAGCAAGACTCTATAGAACTTGACTGCATGCTGAAGTGGCAACCCCCAACCCTATTCAAGTAATTTTAAGGAAATTTACCGGTAAATATTTGGAAAAATGACAAAAGTGCTTTTATTGCATCATGTTCATTCACTCATGAGCTGCTGTAACATAAATCAAATGGCTGAATTGCCACCTCAGCATGCAGTCAAGTTCTATACTCTTTTACCAATGAACTACTACTGTGTGTTGCAACAGGGACACATGGAAAGGTTTCAGGACACCGGCCCTTGAAGATTGGAGTTTGAGATCCGTGGTCTACTCACACCCACCCACACAAAGCGTGTTGCTTTCTTTGGAATAGAGTCTGCATTTTTATTTAAATCCCTGTTTCCCTGCAGCGTAATTTTTTAAAAGTAGGGTAAAGATACAAATTCCAGACTTAGGACACCAGCTGAATGTGCCAGTATTTTAATTCCTGAACTAAAATAATAATATATTACTGGATGATTCCACCAAGGAGCACCCCTGAAAACTAAGATAATGCAGGTAAATGCTCCCTTTGTCTTTCGTCGTCATATTCAAACTTTTGCACCAGTTGTTGACATTAATGTGTCCACTGACTGCACTGCAGGCTCACAGTGGCCCTACCAGTCACAAATGGATATTGCATCTTTGGAATTAGGAACTTTGTGAAGGTGTGCATGAGCGAAACTCTAAATAAGTGCAATATAAATAAATATAAAGCAATATGTAATTGTAAAATTTAACAGGTAGATCTTTGTTCTTTTTTCTTAGGCAGGATTCGTGCCAAACAGCCTTTCATTGTTCTTGTAACAGTGACAATAAAATCTATCCTATTCTATTCTATTACTGTAGTCTTGTTATGTAGAACTCTTTTAAAGTGGCTAGAGAAATGTGCTTGAGTATATTGTTTTCATGCTGGGACTTAAATTGCTCCGTGGACGTGTGGTGGAGCAAAAACACAAGCTCGCGTAACATAAGGCATTACATTTGATGCTATATAAACAGTGTTGGTCAAGTTACTTGAAAAAAGTAATAAGTAACTAATTACCGATTACTCCCCCCAAAAAGTAATCCCGTTACTTTACTGATTACTTATTTTCAAAAGTAATTAATTACTTAGTTACTTAGTTACTTTTTAAAAACACGATTTACAACCTGAGTAGGTGATAAAGTGATAGATCTTTCAGCCCAATTCTACTTTTTCTACAATCCATCATACAAAATGTAATCAAATGGAAATGTCTCTTTTTAAAACTTGTTTTATTAGTTTTAATCTTTTAAATTTATGTAGAAAGCAAAAATGAAATTATATGCAACATTCTCTGACTTGAATAAATTAGTTTAACATTTAAACCTATTTTCTACACATTCCAGCACATAAAATATATTTTTTTTGTGTGTTTACACTCAGTCTTTCACATAGATGCAAGTAAAACACACAAAATAAATAACATGAAAGACTCAGCGGTCCTTTTGCTCTATTTTCACCTGTAAAGCAGGAGTAGGTAGGCGGAGGTGTGCTCTGGTGCAGGTGTGCCGCAGCGGTCAGTGGCAGAATCCGCGAGTTTCTCTGTGAGTTTCCCATTACGTGGTACCACACTCGGTGCTTGCTTCGAAGTTTAGGGGTTTTTTCCGCTGTAAAAAGAAGTTTTCTTCCCACGCACAACGGACGCTAATGTTTTTGTCACTTTTTATGGAATCAAACTCAAAGTAAGGTCAGTACTTCCACGCTTTAAACGCTGCACGCTCATACTCTCTCCCACACTCGATATATGATCCACTGTTGATCTGCACACAGCTGTTATCACGAATGTCGCACTCGCTTACGTCACTGTCATGAGACACTCTCGCAAAAAAAATCACGGTTTTAGTAACGCAGTAACACAGCGTTCCTACGGGAAAGTAACGGTAATCTAATTACCGTTTTTGCAATAGTAATCCCTTACTTTACTCGTTACCTGAAAAAAGTAATCAGATTACGCGTTACTGCCCATCTCTGTTTATAAATCACACACACAAATAATGAAGCTCACTATGAAAAATCATGTATTTTATCCCAAGTTTTTCCTTAACACTCCCCACTGGGAAAGCTAGAGTAAAATAGTGTCTTTTTTATTTTATTAAGTCCAAAACCTGTACTAAGATGTAATGAAATTTCTTGGGAAAGCCTGCTGATATCATTCAAGCATCCCTTAAAGTCCACTTGGGTTTAATTTAAATGAAGGATAAAGGACATAAATGGATTCGGACAGTAGTCTGAAAGTATTCGGCACATTTGTTGGTTTTATTTTCTTCTGACTTGGACTTTTACTTTTATGTAGATGACCTTATGTAAATATAAGCTTTGTTTTTCTGTAAAATAAAGAGAGGTCACTGGTAATCTGTGTTTGTTAGAAAGTGTTAAAAGGTTGTCACCAACTGGAAGACAAATTGTGGCCAAGCACATACACCACATCACACAGATCCTCTTGTTACTGTTATGGGTGTCATGTCTGGAGTCTCTGTGCGAGCAGAGAGGCGAATGGGGCAAAAGAGTTCATCTCGGGTTACGTGGATGGTCGTGTTGTTTTAAATCAATGGCTCACATACATATTTACACCCAAATAAGAAACATGTGCATGTCCTACCAACAGCAGAAATAAGGACCAGACTCTTCAAACAATTGATTATACAGTTTGTTCAACTTAAAAATATTTCTGATGTTCTTATGTGATTTAAATCATTTTTATTTCCTACTTTCGAAGCCCACAAACTGCTTTCAGCCAGTACATGCTAGCAAACACTTGAAGCTTGCTTGCATTAGCTTTATTCACTATAGAGAATGTCGCATCTGTGTTTATTTTTTCTCAGATATTATTGCTTGGTAATTCAGTGCATATCTCTAGGGTATATCGTGAGCCTTTGGCTTGCTTGAAACTGAAAAGTTCACAGAGTAGAGCATCATTTTGTGTCTTTGCCATGTCTCCAGGCGTACATATGTAGGGAGCATGCCCGGCCGCATTATCAATGGTTTGAAGACAGTGGGCGTCAATAATCCCGTCTTCCTTCTGGATGAGGTGGACAAGCTGGGGAAGAGCCTGCAAGGGGACCCTGCAGCTGCTCTGCTGGAGGTCAGTCTGTTTCTCTCTCAGGTTACGTGTGATGTAGTATCACGTCTTCTCTGGTTATTTACTCCCTAAAAAAAAACCTTAATGTTTTGAAGGATTAATTGTCAGTAGCGAGTAGAAACATGCAACATACCGTATCCACCAATTGGTTGCTATAGCTACCTAATTAACCACTACAACACATAATAATTTTCATAATAACACAAGTGTTATTAGTATTCCTGCCCCATGATGCCACAAAGTTCCCACTTACTGCAGTTTGCACAGTTTACAAAAAACACACACACACACACAATAAAAGGGTTTCTGTGTGCACGCTAAGGTCCTGGACCCAGAGCAGAACCACGGCTTCACAGACCATTACCTGAATGTGGCCTTTGACCTCTCACAAGTGCTCTTCATCGCTACAGCAAACACTACAGCGACCATTCCCCCGGCCCTGCTTGACAGGATGGAGGTGCTGGAGGTACCAGGTGGGTTTAGTCACTTTGTTCTGACGAAATATCTCAGCAGATTTATCAGAGGTTATCATAACAAGAGGGTTTCTATTTTATTGAAAATACGTTCCCAGAACTCCACTATAGAAGTCCAAAAAGTTTCCAATTAAAAGAAAAAATATTTTCCTGTTAAATGGGCACCTGTGTTCCTCAAAGGACATGACATAATCCAAATCTGAAAGATACAAATTATGAGTCATTTTAAGACCAGAGTGAAATCTAGCATCTGATCTCCCTGTTTTGTTGTTGTTGTTGTTTTTCTTTATTACTGTTGTTTCAGGCTACACCCAGGAGGAGAAGGTAGAGATTGCTCACCGCCACCTGATTCCAAACCAGCTGGAGCAGCATGGGTTAACCCCTCAACAGCTGCATATACCTCAGAGCACCACACCGGACATAATCAGCAGGTACAATCTCACACAAACTCAGTCATCGTCACCTAAGACTGTAAGACTGCATAGCCGTTTAAGCTTTATGTTAACGGCAGCACACAGCGGCATCAGTGTCAGATACTGGTGGTGAAACACACTGAAACACGTGTGAATTTTCAACAATGAAATTGTGAGAGAGATGATTTGTTCAGTGACCGTTGATCTGTGAGAATGATTGTTATAGCTTCTTCATTTAAAAGAGACTCGACAGACATAATTTTATAAAAGTAAACTTACATGTAGAATACGTATCACAGGTTCACATGTCTTTCTGACATGCAGAGGCGGTCTGGTTAGTGTGCAAAAAATAGAAAATATATAGGTTGATCTGGGTAGATCTCTTTTGCAAACAAATAAGAAAAAAAAACACATTTCAAAAAGGAGAGAGACGGGTTCTCAGGTTTTCAGGTGATTACAGTTACAGGACAAAACAAAGAGCAAGTACATGACTAACAGTCAGAGTGTTGCCAAGTTTTTAACCCTACCTGATCACACTGTGACTCTCAGTGACAGCTGTGTTTTAGTCATCTGTTATTTGTCCTTCTGTTTGTTCTTCCTCTTTTAGGTACACCCGAGAAGCAGGTGTGCGCTCACTAGAAAGGAAGATCGGGGCGATCTGCCGAGCTGTAGCTGTCAAGGTTGCCGAGGGTCACACACTCACCAAGACAGAGACTTTGACCCCTGAAAACTCAAAACAGCATGGAGGTGAGGGTCTGAACCTTCCATCTTGGTCGGGCTGTGGAATTTAATTTGAAGCTTTAGCTGCAGAACAGCACAGAGCTACACACTAACAAAGCTTGTGCATTAAATACCAAATGTTGAGTCATTACAAATATTGAAAGATGAAGTACAACAGAAAAGAGCATCTTAGTTAACACAGATTTATTTCAGTAATAATAGCAAAATGAAACACTCATCACTGGACTTATTTATTTTATAAATTTATTTATTTATTTACTTACTTATTATGACAAAAAGATTTTGCTAATGCCTTTTTGACCAGAGTGTTTAGGCTTTGTTGCTTTAAGGGTTTTTCTTTTATGTATTTGAAGACCATACTGCCATGTAAAAAAAGAGTTTTTCATAGGTCCTGTAAAATGAAGTTCACCCTGTGATTCAGTAGCTTTTAGAACCTCCTTTAGGAGCAGTACCTTAAAGTAATTCTTTCCCGTATGACTTCATCAGTCTTTCATATTGTGGTGGAATTTGCTCGAGAGCTTGGGGTCATTGTCCTGTTGCATCATTTGAGCCCAGTTTTAGCTGTTGGACAGATGGTCTCACTTTTGACTCTAAACAAATTTGGTGTACTGAGGAGTTCATAGTCCACTCAATGCTCAGGTGCTCAGGTTCTGTGGTAGCAGAACAAACCCAAATCCAATCCAGTCACCCGTCCAATTCTGTGCTTGACAGCTGGTATGAAGTGTTTGTGCAGATATGCTACATGTTTGTTTTTTTCCAAAAACAAGCCATACTTGTTCAACCTTTTTCTAATTGTACTGCCATGAAGTCTAACATTTAGCATTCTGAGGCATGTATTATTGTAGGGTGTTAATCCTGTCTTTTAACCTGTGTTCCATGTCGCTCCCCAACCGGTCGCGTCAGATGTCTGCCCCACCCTGAGCCTGGTTATGCCGGAGCTTTCCTCCTGTTAAAGGGGAGTTTTTCCTTCCCCCTGTCGCCAAAGTGCATGCTCATAGGGGGTATTATGGTTGTTGGGTTTTCCTCTGTTAAATACAACAAACCAGCCTATAACTAAAATAGAAACAAGGACTAGTGTTTTAGCAGCTCTCTGAGATTTTGTGCAGGTGAAAGAAGGCACTTCAGAATGGAATATTTCAGGCTTTTACCTCAAATGTTTGACTCAACTCAAATTTCAAGTTATTTTCTACATTTTGCATGGTTTTTTCTCAAAGTTTTGAGTTAGGTACCTTAAAATGTTGACTTACTATCTTGACATTTTAAGATAATAACACCATATTCTGACACATGGATCGCAAAACATGTTTTTTTTTTCATTGGGGGAAACAAGCTTCCAAAGTCTTATTGAACTGCAAGATCCCTTTTTGCTTGAGTCATAATGTAAAGTAAATGTTTTTTTTACTGTAATCCAGAATCGAATGTAATTTTTTTCTCATCCAATCAGGTTAGTTTTATTTATATTGGGCCAAATCACAACAACATATGTAACAGGCCTCATATGTAATGAACAGCAACATATTTTACTTGGTATCATAGTATTGTACACTGTAAAACTAACTGATATTATTTGGACATCTCGAAAAGTCGATTGAGCTTGTTCAGAATAAATTTCATGTCAACCTGTGACTTAGTTTGGCGACACAGATGACGCGAGTAACTGACACAGATCTTATCTGTGTGGTTAAACAAAGAACTACAGACATAGTAACAAAGACTGACTGCACGTGAGCAACAACTGGCTAATACGTTAGGAGAAATATCTCCCACAATATAGTTCGGGTAACAGCCGTTAATAATGTTGAGTTAAAACACTTGTGCTTCTGTTCTTTGTTGCAGAGTGCGAGTGTTGGGCACAAGGGGCTGAAATGAGCCTGGGAAAAATAAACTTTGAGTAAATCTTGACCAGAGCAGTTTGATGGATGTTGGTTCATAATGTGATGTTATAACAGACAGATGTTTGACGTGGTGACAAATTACTTATTGGTTGTTTATTTGTCTAATGATCATTTGTAAATCAAATTTTACGTCAGGTGTTAGATATCTGAAGCATGCTCGCAAGTACAACATTATGATTTTTATGCTAATATCCTAAATAAACCTTATTGTGCAGTGTCCTACTCAAAAGCACTGGATATTACACAGCAGTACTCAGTTTTTGATTTGTCTGCGGGATTCTCAGTAGAGTAAATAAAAACAAAGAACTACAAAACTCATTTTTGCATCATTAAGTAGCAGACATGAAGACCGGAAATTTTGTTTTAGGTAGAGTGGTTTAATTACAGAGAAAGACAGAAAAATGGGATAAACGTGACATAAGTGTTTCTTTCTGTTCTTTAATGCGGCCTTTGTGTTTCCAGGTAACCACACGTGTGTGCGTGCGTGTGTGTGTGTGTGTGTGTGTGTGTGTGTGCACGCGCACAATTGATACATGTTCTCATGCATTCTTTTTGTATTTTCTAAGTGGTAGCGGTTTTTGATGTTCATCTGTGATATTTGTGTTTCTGTTTGACTTTTACGTGTGTGCATGTTTGCGTCATGTTGGTGCGATTTATGTATATGTGTTCACAGCTGGTTTTTCGTTCTCATTCGCAGCTATGTCACTGCCATTTTTTTCCCCTTTCCCTGTGAAGCCTGGTGTATGTAGTTGTTTTTTTTTAACTAAACAATCTCTAAGATCTGATGATTACAGTGTGTTTACGTTCACTTGAAATAGTAAGAATATTCCTAACACCTAACTGCACGAACATGGGTATAAACAACACATATTGTTTCTTTGACATGTAGCTTTCTGAACCACAGGCTACAAAAAAATATGGATGTAGCCAATGTGATGTTATCCACAAATTTGTGAAACCCTTTTCTGAATCCTGAATGTTGCAGGTGTTACCATGTTTGTTGATTTTTTGTTGTTTCTAGACAGGAACTGAATGCAGTTATTCACACGGCAGTCCTTGATTTAGCTTTCAGTGAATGTTTTGCTGTAATGTTTGTTTTCAGACAAGGCAGCACCTCCAGAGTTGCCCATAGTGATTGATCATATCGCACTGAAAGACATCCTGGGGCCTCCAGTGTTTGAAATGGAGGTAAGCAGAGAGAGAAAGAGCAGCATGTTCAGTGTTCATAATCCACAAGTTTATTACAGAAACATGCAGAATTTATTCTCATGAACATTTTTGACCGCCTGAATTTTCTGGACCTCAACCGATGCGATTGGTTTCCATCACAATCCATGACTCTATAAAGGCAGCCTGTGAGCAGATCTCTCAGCTCCATACAGCTGCTGCTCATCCTGTCAGATTAAAGTCATTTGCCTTTCTCCCTTCATCTCTCCAGGTCATGTGGAACTTGTTTTCTATGTACTTTTATGAGGATTGAAAAAGATGTTTTCACGTGTGCATATTGGCAGGTCTCTGAGCGGCTCACCCTGCCTGGTGTAGCTCTCGGCCTGGCCTGGACGCCGCTTGGTGGGGAGATCATGTTTGTGGAGGCCAGTCGGATGGAGGGAGAAGGTCAGCTCACTCTCACGGGTCAGCTGGGAGACGTTATGAAAGAATCTGCCCACTTGGCCATCAGCTGGCTCAGAGCGAATGCTAAAACCTACCAGCTCACAAACAGTGAGTCCAGATACACCAGTGTTTATATTCTATTTTGTAGTTTTAGAGAAATACAAAACAACTTATGTTGTGCAACTGTGTGTGTGTGTTTGAACAGTGGTGGGGGGTTCAGATCCTTTAGAGGGGACAGACATCCACCTCCACTTCCCCGCTGGAGCCGTCACCAAAGATGGCCCCTCTGCTGGTGTTACAATCGTCACCTGCCTGGCTTCACTGTTTAGCGGCCGACTGGTCAGATCAGACGTCGCCATGACTGGAGAGATCACGTTAAGAGGGCTTGTGCTGCCAGTAAGTTATCGTAGTAAACACACATAAAACGATCATCTCTAGTCCACTCTAGTTTTGACAGACAAGTGTGGCCCGTCCTCTGCAGGTGGGCGGGATTAAGGACAAGGTGCTGGCTGCACACAGGGCAGGAGTGAAGCGCGTCATCCTCCCGAAACGCAACGAGAAAGACCTGGAGGAGCTTCCAGCAAACGTCAGAGCCAACCTCGACTTTATCACAGCCACAAACCTGGACGAGGTGCTCAACGCCTCTTTCGATGGAGGGTTTCCGGGAGTAAGCAGCACGCGTGCACACCCTCAGCTCACCAGCAAACTGTAACACACTGCTCAAAACACATTAACAATGTAAGGCATCTGTGATCTTGGATAATTAAGCCGTTTTTTGATCCTTAGAAGAGCTGTAAGGTCTTTTTGCAGATGATTTATTCAGTATTACAAAGCTAACTTGAAGTTGAAGATGGAGCTGAGATACAGGAGAATTCAGTTTACAAAATCCCCAGCTCCTCTTTGCTAATAGCACTGTGCAGCCAGCTCAGAAATAACTGCTAAATATCATCATAGTGGGGCTTTGTTTTTCATTTCAACTGAATAGCTGCTTATTTCATTTACATTGACCTTGTATTAGTAGCCTGGCTATGTCTTCCGAAGCAGGGGGACTAGTGAGTGATACATGCCTTAAAGATTTATACAGGTTGAATTTGTGCGCTGAAAAAGCCCAAATGTGCATGAAGAGTTCTGCTAAGGGAAAGAAATTGATTGATGTTTGTTTATGTAAATTGTTCTCCTTAATCACATATTTTATTTCACTCTAGTTGGATTTTTATCAGTGGATCTTTCACATCCACAATAAAATTTTATTTAGCTGCACTGATGGTGATGAATATATTCTGTGATTAAAAACTGTAAAGATGTTTTGTTTTCATTTCCTCCACTAGGCTGACAAATTGAAACATAAAATAAATTTAGATTTCTTTTATTTACTGTGACATTTACCGATTTAATTATTTAGCCTACGTTTTTCCTGCTCTTGGAACTTTTAGTTGGACAAAAACTAGAACTGTACAGTTGAATATGGATGCATCTTAAAAGTATAGCTTTTTTATGCTTTAGCCTCAAGGATTCAAGTGTGCAGTAGAATATTCAGATGATTAGCTGACTAATATCTTTAATTTGATAGCTCACTGAGATGACTTCTGATTCTGATGTTGTTTTTTTAGTGAGTTATGGTTAAATCATAGAGGGACATGATTCCATAAATACGTGTTTTACTGAAAAGCATAAAATGGAAAACACTAATGTCCAGTTATTTGTTCGACTTTTAAGCAGTCTGAAAATATCACACAAATGCATCCAAAGTCCATTGGTGACACCATAGAATACAGTTTCTTCCATGCAACCTCGTATTTTGGTCATACACAGTAATACTGTGTAACAGATTGAATAGTTGCATGTTTAAAAGTGCTCATTCATTGTAATAAACGTTTCTGCCTCTGAGGGGTGCTATAGTCTTCATGAGGCTGCACTTTTCTTCAGTCTTGTTGAGTGCTGCCCTCTTTGTTTTGTCACATTCCACCTGCCTAGTTACTGGTCTAGGGGAATAGGTTTCCATGCGAATCTTTAGTAAACTCAACTAATCTAAGTTCATTATTAATTTCTGCTCATTTGCTTTATAGGAGCTATAATCTTGTACAGCAAGAGATGGGCTTGCTGGCAGCCTGGTGAGATACAAAAACTAGAGATGAAGAATAATATTTAAGGATGCCGTGGCCTTCAAGAGTAATCACGAGGGGAAATGTTTTTTTGTTTTTTTTTAATGCCTTTCCATTCTCTTCTTTTTTAAATTATAATGCAAACAAAAAATATTCAGTCCACAGTTTTATAGCTTGTCTGACAGTGAGACACGCCCACACATTTGCTGGTGGTAGGAGCCTCTTGCATCACTTTTTGGAGGTACAGATGCCTTTTTGTCAGCTGCTTTGTTTCAGTTGTCGGCTGAGATGTGGAAACCTTCGAATTAACTCATCTGTACCAAAAAGGAACAGAAGCAAGAACAGTAAGAAAAAGTGCAGTACAAAAAGTAAATACATGCCTCATACATGGGATGGCAATAACGCAGCATGCACATTATATGCTAGTGTTCTTGCAAGACACCTCGAGCAGGAGGAACTCCTTTGAGCACAGATTTGTTAGAACAATTTGAAATATTTTGCAAAAACATTTCTTTATGACTATAAGAAGGTTTACTGAAAAAACTTGACAGCCATCATATTTAAATATCACACAAAACAAAACAGTGCAAAGTCTGACTTATTCACTGAAGTTATAAGTTGACTGTACTGGGGGCTACATGTTTGAGTACACATTAGCCAAATATTACACGCTGCACGGTGCAGTATCAAAGAGACTACTGGAGTCAGTGTGCCTTGCCACAAAACAGTTCCACAACCCTTTTTTTTCTTCAATTATTTAAACAAAAGTGTTTGGTGAGTTGTAGATGTTCTAGGTGAATCTCTCAAATTTTGGAAAAACCTGAAACTCTCTGCACAACAGAGCACCATCAAATTACACTCCAACCAGTTTGTGCTCACCAGTTCCTCCAAACACATTTGATGCAATAGCTCTTACAGAGAGTACTTGTCCACCTAGAGGATGCATCATTGTGCCAATACGCTGCTGAATTAAAGCATTTTTCTGGTCAGCTGCACATTCCCTTTGTGCTTGCTGGGGTTTAGCAGTCCGTGTGGGTGTGGAGCACTTCAACTTCTTTAAAACAAATTATATTTGAATAATGAAGGTATTAGTGTTTTGTGTAAAGATGCATTGTTGTCAGCTTTTCCAGACCTGGGACGTCCAGCTTTTATAAATCACCCCTAAAACTCAAGTACATCTTTCCAAAAGATCTTCTGCCACTTTTCCCTACCATTAGTCCTATTGCTACTTCAGCCACAATGATGCACTGTTTTAAGGAATAGCAATATTAATAGCAATCTCATGGCAGGCACTCAACTGAAGTTCTACAATGTTTGTATACAAGAAACTATCGGGATGGGATATTTAATTCAGTGTAAAGTCTGGAATACTTATAATGGTGTTGATACGCCTCTCATGAAACTGACGACTGGAGTTGGTTCAAAATGCACATCACCGAAGTATTTAGAAAAAGCAGATTTGGGCATAGACTTGTTGCTTCTTGCTTATGAGGACAAGACTCAGACATGAAGGGTCAATAGCTCTTGAAAATTAACCTCAGCCCAAATGTTCAGCCGTTCTTTCAGACAACCTGACAAAAGACAAGAGAAACTACAGGGGAGCTTTCACTTTATTTTAGATAAATACAGGAAATCATCCTTTTTGCACTGTAGAGCTGTAAAGGAGGAGACATTTGTGAGGAACAGATTTTAACAACATGAAATGCCATGTTGTAATAGCTAAAAACTAATGACCCACCTCTGCCCTGTGAGTTTGGGTCATCTCTTCCATCCATGCCAGTCTGAAGCTGACCGATGGAAATTTGGCCAAGGGTCAGAAGATGGATGCTTTACATGACCCCAATGAGGTCCACGGTAATGCCACTAGTAGTTATTCCACGTAGGATTCATCTGGAAGTTGCTGTATCCACTGTAAGGGTCGGCATATCTTTGAGGATGACGTGGCCTTGATGGGTGTTCTTCTCCAGCTGGCTTCGGAAATGCAAACTCCTGCAGGCGGCCTTCATCATGATGCTGGTCAGGGTACAGCCTTGTGTGAACTGGCAAATGCTCTGTTTGACGACTCAAATCATCTTTCTCAGGCCTGTGTCGACGTCCACCGTGATGTTCCTGGCTACCTGGAGGGCGTGGAGAACCATGTGAAAAGGGAATGGATAAGCTGAACTGGTAGCCCAGGTTTGAAGGATCATGGGCATGGTCTCTGCGGGGATTATTAAAACTCTTGTCAATAGTAAGGCCGCTTGGTCCGTACCGAGGAGGATTAGCACGATCATGAGAGTGAGCAAAAGGAATCCTCAGGCTTATGTCAAAGCTCCTGGGCTTGGCCACAAGATTGTTTCTGTGTGCTCGTGGCTGGACCAGTGATGTTTCCATGGGTCTGTTGGTGGGAATATTAGAGCGTTGCTGATATGATCTTGGGGATTCGACTTGAACCTGATTACGCACATTAGGGTAGATCTGTGGATCTGTCGGCCTCAGAGCCCTCATGTATTGGAAAGGGCGAGGATTTCCATACACATCTTGTTCCCCTCTTCCACCCTGCCATGTTCTAGGCTGCACAGAACTTGTGGCTGAGAAAGAACATGGGTATGAGTACAGATTATAATCATGTTGGTAAAGCTTAGAACACGTCTACAGTTTGTCAGTATTGTTTAGATAGAACTTCAGTGTTGAGTTTATTAAGCCAGTGTCAAAGACATTTGTATTCTTATACTCTTAACAGGAGGAAGGAAGTCTGTTAATTTGTGTGATCCACTCACAGAAAGCATAATATTCATATACATTTATACCATCTACAGTTACCCAGCTTGAATTTTCCTTTTCCAAATTTAACACTGAAGAACTTCGTCTTTTCAAAGCAATTACTAAAGTAAAAAGATAAAACACCATGCTTACGATGACTGATTACATAAGTTGAGATTTTGGTATCTAAACATCTGCAAGTTAACTTAATGCATCATACATGGAACCTGTAGAGTTTCCCCCCCACTAAATGAAACCCGGCTGTGACGTTAAAGTAATGCAAACTCAGCGTTACATTTTACCTCTCAGTGTGCTGTGAGCCATTTAAATACCCTGCTTTAACCAAATCAAATCTGCCAATTTGAGCATGAGGTATCTCGACCCTAACCCAGTAGCTGCAAAGTCCTGATAAGGTACACTGGTAGACCTGTTTAGTGACCAACAGCTTTATCACCTGAAGTGGGGGAGAGGAAAAAAACTGCCTGGATTACATACTACATATTTTGTTCCAGTGTAAATACTGTTAAACCTCTTTCAAATATTATCTAAAGAGATGCTGCAGATTCTGGATGCAGGCAGGACTTCACTGGACTCCTCAGGTAAGACATAAAGTTGTCATTTCATAAAATCATTAGAGTAGGTTTCAACATGCTCACCTTTGGGAAGAGCTGAGGAATAGTTCACATCACTCAAAACATAAAGCAGTAAAAACCTGTCAAGCAGCACAAATACAGTCAAGATAAAACCAGACCAAAGCCTCACATTCAAGTACAGGAAGTGCATATCATGAAAATACATTTAAACATTGTACCTTGCAATTAAGAACCGGGCAACCATGACTCCAGTAGCTGCACTCACTGTCCTCACAAACCCTCCAGCTGGACTGTGCATGCAAAGCACTCACATTTCCACGGGTCCACACACACCAGCTACTCCGACCAAACACCAGCGTACATCTGAGTTACGTGTTTAGGACATGCTGCTGTCTTTATCGGTCCTTCCTACCGGCAGGTGTTTCCAATCAGGCTTTTTTAATGAGAAGTTGAACTGAGGTACCCAACAGATCGACTCCCCCACTTCTTTTATGCATACATGTTTATTTTGCTCTTCACTCAAACTTTTGGGGAGACACAAACTGTTATTCCAGGTAACCTGTTAACCAATCAGAGAATACTAAATGTTTAAAAATCTGGCTAGATTCAAACTTTACACAGGAAAAGTGAAATAAAATCTGAAAAGTTCAACTTACTTTGTCTATTTATGATGCACTGAATTTCATAAATCCAATGTAAATTTTAGCACTAGGTGCAATGACTCCCAAGCTAGGCGAGTGGCTCCAGCAGATCCCAGGAACAACATCCGAGATCTTTGTCCAGAAGAGTGCAGTCCTAGGAACAGCAAAGATACTGCGCAGGACTCTTGAGCTCCCAGGCCTCTGGTAGAGGACCTGAGCTTGAAGAATAGTCCGTCCGCAGGGGGCAATTTTTTATTTCTTTTGGAATCGCCTGTCTGGCTTTTTGTTCGACCTTTATTATTATTATTATTTCATTTTTAGTTATTACAATCAGAATGGATGGGACTGGGGGACAGGATAGAGGAAGAAAGAGAGGCTGGGATATAACAGAAGGAGACGGGAAGAAAAACAGAGGAGAAAAGGAAATGAGAGAGAACAGATACTGAAAATCTGCTTGATCGCCTGCTGAGAGTGAAAAAAAGGGCAAAAAGCAGACAACATAGTAGGAAAACCACAGCAACAACCATAAGCATCAGTAATAGTAAGTAATAAATATTGAGTGAACAGCATACAGTGCTAATAATACATTATATGTTTAGAAGCAGCAGCCAACCAAGATGGTGTGTGAGTACCTGTTTGTACACCTGTCTGAACACTTGTGTATACACCTGTGTGTGTGGGCCCGTTTATGTTCATAAGATTTCTCCAAGTGTCTAATGGTGGGTATGGGGAGCCATAACGCTGCCCCCCAGGTCATCAGCGACTGGAGGAGATCCGGGCCCCAGACATGTATAGGATTTATGTACAGGATTTCTATCTTTACAAGGGGGCAATTTGAGTGCAGTGATGGAATGTAACTAAGTCAATTTATTTGTCTACTATTCATATAAATATAGTTTTGATTTACTTGTACTTGTGAAATTAAGTTTGCCAGGTTCCACTTATTTGGTCCTGAAGGAACCTACTGGAGTGGCAGTGTCGTCTTCAGAGGCCTCATCTTTATCACCATGGTCACCTGCATTTAAAGGATAATCACTGGGACCAGACTCAACAATAATACTCTACCAAAGCTCAGAAAAGACAGATGATATGAGGACCTCATGACAGCAAATTGCAAGAAATGTAAGTTAGTTTCAGGATCTGATGTTATAACTGAAAATTGCCAATTAGCTATCGTTTTTTTACCAATACTAATAATGAAATATTATTAGTGTTGGTAGTGCTGAATGTTTTTATAACAGCCTGGTAGATGCTCTATATTAATTTCTTGTTGTTGTTATTTCAGATTGCTTTGTATTCAAAGCCAGGTAGCCAGTCTTCAAAATATTTAGGAGGAAGTTGTCTGGTAAATTCCTTCCAAAGTGGCCAACATTCTTCAAGCCAAGCCAAATCTGCTTCAAGGCCCTTTCACATCGGACACGGCATGCGCTGCGCTCACCGCTTGCTAGAGTGAGGGACCCAAAATATGTGTTGAGTTGGCTGCTGAAGATGTGATTTTTAGAATTGTATTGAAGTAGAAGTTCACTTTTGATGTGAACAGATGTGGATTATCAAGGGCAAGGAGACCCAACATGCAGCAGATTTATCTATTCCAGATAAGCTTGGTATTGCAGCACAGACACAGGATTGTTTCTATTATAACTAAATGTGCACATCGGAACAATTGTGCATCAGGAGTTAAACATTTTAATATTGGCACTCAAAATCAGACTCCCAGTTTTGTTTAACGTAATTCACTTGGATTCTTTCTCAAGTGGTGGGTAGCATGAAGACTTTTCACAAGGAAAATGGCTGCTCAGCTCTTCCTCCTGTGTGTTGGAGAAAGAAAGAACAACATCCAGAATTTCTAAATTGTTAAGACAATGAAGAAATCAAAAGGTGATTCCCTGTGTGATCCATAGAATATAATAGAATGCCTTTATTTTCACTATACAGATGTACAGTGAGACACAGAATAGAGATGTAGACTGGGGTTGCAGCCCTGATGAGCTTTTCAAGGCCCAATTTCCATTTGCTGTGAAATGTTCATGTGTTACATTTGCAAGATACAGCACACAAGCTGTTTAGTGTTATTTAGACATTTCCAACATGGTTTGTATCCAGGAAGGGTTTCGCATATGTATATATATAAATGTAAAGTGTAAATTTAAATGTTATTTTATACACAAAGAGGTGTTTAAATGGGTTAAAGAGCTAGTTATGTACCCATTCAGTGGTTACATGCTTTGCTATTTACATGTTTACGCATCTGAATTTTTACACATGCATGTTCAAAGCAGTATTAAGTATGTGCTGAATCTACCTAGTTGTTTTCCCTGCATTGATCTGAGTATAGGTTTTCCTGGCTTTGAGTGGCCAGTGCAGTATTCATGAAGGCTATACACAGGAAGTGTTTGGTTGTTGTTGCTGTGTGCTGAGAGTAAAGAGGCTGCTAAGAAAGTTATCAATTTCCATCTTGCTGTTTCTAATCGTTCAGAGAGATTCCAAACCACATAGTGAACCCTCACATTACATACATATATTCTCCTCTCAGCCCTGCGGGCGGTTTATCCTTCAAGCTCGGGTCCTCTGCCAGAGGCCTGGGAGCTTGAGGGTCCTGCGCAGTATCTCTGCTGTTCCTAGGACTGCGCTCTTCTGGACAGAGATCTCGGATGGTGTTCCTGGGATCTGTTGGAGCCACTCACATAGCTTGGGAATCACTGCACCTAGTGCTCTGATTACAACTGGAACCACTGTTACCTTCACCCTCCACATCTTCTCGAGCTCTTCTCTGAGATCTTGGTACTTCTCCAGCTTCTCGTGTTCCTTCTTCCTGATGTTGCTGTCATTCGGAATCGGTACATCTATCACTACGGCCATTTTCTTCTGTCCGTCTACCACCATTTTGTCCGTCTGTATCTGACAAATAACAACATTTTTTTTAAATGCCTTTACTTTTTGTTACTAGCAGCATGTCACAAATACACATAGCTTGTTTCCATTTCATTAACTGAATGTAGAGTATATGCAAATGATAACACAGTTTGACCAGCATAAAACAATATTTTTGCACCAACAAAGTGATTCACAAAGCTCTATTACCCAGTGATGTTTACAGTGTAGTTAGATATTTTGAGGAAACTGGACAAGTAAAAGATAAAGAAGTAGTAAACCTAAAAAAACCCAAACTAAACAAAACACCATCTACAGCAGCTGAACAGCAGCTTTTTAATGTCATTCAAGATGCCTACAACTACTCCTGAATCCTACTTAAAGAAGAGAGCTGCCAAAGAGAGTTAAGGCTGTGTTAAAGAATAATCAAAGTCGGTTGTGCTAAATCTTTACTTCAGGCTTGTCAGAATGGCACGAACTCTGCCTTTGCCTTATGTGCTGCTGCATTTCTATGTATGTTTGAATATGTGTCAATAAATTGCTGCATCTAGTTCCTAAAAAAAAGACGCACTCCTTTTTATTTTCCAGCAATAAAAAGAAGTAACTTTTGTAGTTCAATTTACTATCAAAATGCTTCCTTTTTTAAGCTCGTATTTTTTGAATTTGTTCATGAAAATGTTTCGTTGGGAATAATTGATGTAATTACATTTCACTGAATTTGATTTTGCTCGTAATTACACAGGTGTGTAAATTTCAGCCTTGTCATCCTTTGCTTTCTTCTTCCTGGAAAAAAGAAGAAGAAGAAGAAGACAGGAAGTGTTCTTGTTGCTGTTGACGAGCACGGGCGTGAGATAACGGAGTGCGGAGATTTCAAGGGTTCGTGTTATAATTCCTTCTTTCTTTCTTATTATTATCATTAGTAGTATTTATTTTTCCTTCTGCTTTCGGTTAATAGGCTATGAAGCCAGGAAATCTCCGGTGAACATTACTGATGATGAACTAGCTTCTCAGGCCATATAACGACAGTTCAGTGCTCAGCATCGGTGTGTTTCAAGTGCGGTGCTGAGCCAGTGTTTAAAACGCTGCGATACGTCGCGTTTCTACAGAAATGTAGATAATGTGTGTTCAGTGTACTAACGTTTTGTATGTAAGAGGTTTTTGCTCTCACTAGCGCGGTGAGCCATCTGATTCAGCGAGGAACAGAATGAGTCAGGCCTGTCGTTGGGTGTAACAGCCATTTCTTCCACCTGCGCTATCTCACTTCCTTCGAAAATACGACATTAATATTAAGGTTATCAATTATATCACGCTTGAGATGTACGTGTGTTGGTGTGAAGCCAGTAGCACTGGTATAATAACAATGCTTGTCGTTGCTGCTGCTTTTCCAGGCTTCCTTCGTATGGCACGACTAGCTTCGCCATTGCGCTTGCAGGCGCTGCGGCTATTAGTCCTATTTTTATGGGTGCGGGTCCTCTGTGTCTAAATAGTTCAATTTCTCTTTAAAATTAAAGTCTGGACACATAAAATATCTTGGTTTATAATTGTTTCATGGAAAGAAAAAATCGCCAGCACGCTTTATTCACACAAATTCATGACTGATTTTCTGGGTTGTTTTTTTTTTACAGTATTGCTCCCGGTATTGGCTTTCCTCCCTTTAAGGCCCCTTTTCACTGAACTATAAGATTGCTGTTTCCTCTGCAAGTTAGCAGCCTGTTTTTTCTTTTCTGAGTGGTCATCTGTTATTCTTCAGTAATTATTGACCTTTTATACTGAACAGTTTACTGCATTTTTGCAAGCTTGGCTTAGGATGGAACATTGCATCATTTTTCTTCAGTGGCTTAAATTAAGCATTAAATAAATTCAAGCTACAACTAGGGCTGCTTTTTCAAGTGGAAGAAATATTAATATAGCTAGGCTGCTAGACCCCAAAAGGACTGGTAAATGCCATTACCTGATTAATCTGGTGAGTTTGTAAGATGAGTTTCAGCTCTTTACCATGAGATAGCTTATATGCTATATGCAATAGCTGATCTAGCAGTACAAGCTTGTCCCTAATTTCAAGTCACTAATAACTAATCCTTTATAATAATAATAATAATGATAATAATAATGATAATAATAATACTTTTAACGTACACTATTTTTGCCATGTATCACGGTGGTCTTGCAGGTTAGCTTTAACCTGATTTAGTGTCTCTTTGTTCATGCTGCTTAATGTCTTACATAGAGCAATGTTTATGTTTCATGTATACATTAGTAGAGATTACGGCAAAGTCATGCCATGCATCTGATCAGATGGCTAACTTTCCCTTTAGTAGCTAACAGGATAATGTGTCCCTCAGAGCTGAGTACATTACACACACACACACACACACACACACACACCTGACCAATTCTGGTATTCTATGGTAAATGACAGTCTGGCTTCATAGTGCCACTGAACTCAGGACGACCCTCATCGAGTCTGTGATTGTTTGGTCTGAGACATTCACACAGGCCTGCAGCTATTGATTGTTTTAGTAACTGATTAATCTATTGATTATTTCATTGATTCTTTGAGTAATCAGATAAAAAAAATGCTTTTGTCTTATTAATGAGCAAATATATGTAGTCAAAAGAGAAAAATACAGGTCTTTCAAAATGAACTGCTCATTGGCTTCCATTTTAGAAACTGCAACGTTTTTTTGTTTTTTTTTGTTTCATTCATCATCTGTTTCATTTGTCCAAAAAACAAAAACATTTGTCTGGATATTTTAATACAACTTCTGGAGGTTTTTTCAAAGTAAATGCTTTAATTGTAATTAAAACAAAGCTTTCTCCAAAGGATGGATGCTGTTTTGGATGTTAGAAACACGTTTTCTTTCACTCTACCTGCGCTCTTGGTAATGGCTCTGCTTCTTTGCTCTTGTGTATTGTGTGTGTAAATGGACTCCAGCTTCACGTTAAACTGTGCCTGTGTCATCATCACTGCTGCTGTTGCGTTATCAGTGTTTCTGTTTAAAACTGGGGGCTGTGTGGGCTTAATGTTGCCAAACCTTTTAGTCACACACTGCTCTTAGATACGTTTCTATTGCTCGTCTATTTTTAGTCGCAAATGTGGCTAAAACGCTTGCTTTTGCCTTCCCATGGTTACAGAGCCGTGCCTTAAACGAAGCATCAACGCAAAGAATTTGTGTTTCACACCAATGGCCTGCTGGAGGTCATTTTGCAGGCCATTTTATTTTATACTTGTTATAGTATAACAAGTAAGATACTGCATGACTTTTAAGAAAAGCGTTATGTGTAATATATGTATTGATTACTTTTTGAATAATGACCCTGATCACAACAAAGAAGGGAAACACCGACAACATACCACATTGACCACATTGCATGCAATTAATTTGCACAAGTGTACTGTGTTTAACATGCTCCTTAACAATGGTGGTAACTGTCAAAGTGGGGCCATTGAGAACCTAATGAGAATGTATAAGAGAATCATAAATTGTAAAACTTTGTGAAAGGAGTCTAATACACGCCAATCAGTCGACAGGTATTAGAAGTGGCGATACTGCGTTTTTGATGCTGGTAGCTGGCATTGGATTATGACACTTAGCCAATTAAACTTTCGTGTGATGTCAGAATGTAAGGAAACTGTTTATCAGAGGGAAAGTGATTCTTTTTTCTGATTTTATTTTGTTTGTTTGTTGGAAAATTGTATGGCACCTGGCAACCATTTATATTCTTTGTTGAAAGGATGGCAGCTGTTGTTATTAGCATATAACCAGAATATTATTAGTGTATTTAAAATATATGACAAAATAACTATTTGTTTATTTTCTTCTCAACTCTTTTCTTCTCTTCTTTTTCCTCCAATTGTCGACATTTTGTTGCATTTTCATGAGAAACAGGGAGCATGGGAGCTAGCTGATTGTCAGCACCTGCTACAATCGCCAGTTGGTGTCTGCTTCAAGCATGCCATGTTTGACTGATCTGGATAGGGCCGGTGCTATAGAGCAACTTCAAGCTGCCATGAATGGCAATTGTCAGCTCACCCGCTGTATTCAAGACAGCAAGTCAACTTGGCTGCTTGCACAAATCTTTGCCCACTTTTACATATTTCTAATAGATTAAATCTAAGTGAAGGCATCAATTTTTTGGAAAATGTAAATACTAATGAGGGTAGATATAGTACAATATTCTCAGTGGTGATGTGCCTGGAGCCTCCTTCTTGGTGCTGGGACCGGCCAACTTCCCACCACCAGCTATGTCCACCCTCTGTTTGATGTTATTGTACAGCACCTTGGTCAGCTCTGTTGTTTTATGCTTTATAAAAAATAAAGTGGTGTGTGTGTGTGTGTGTGTGTGTGTGTGTGTGTGTGTGTGTGTGTGTGTGTGTGTGTGTGTGTGTGTGTGTGTGTGTCAATTCTCATGGCTGATTTTTTTTTTCTTTCTTTTTTTAACCTTTTGATCAGTCAGGATATCTGTAACGATGGAAATGGATATAAGTGGAGTATCCAGGACACGTGTCTCCATTCTTCCTACAACTGACATCAAAGCCACATTGAAACCAGAAGCAGAGAGACCTCGCTGTGCCAGCACCCCATGTTCACCAATCAGAGGTACTGTTGCAGGATACCAGATTCTCCACATGGACTCAAACTATTTGGTGGGCTTCACCACTGGTGAGGAGCTGCTCAAACTGGCCCATAAGTGGTCAGAAGGTAATCCTGAGAAGGCCCGTGTATCAGATGCAGTGTCCAGCTCCATCAAGAGCACTGTCCCTAAGTCTGTGGACCTGGGCATCCACCGGTCTTCACGTATTTTCAAAGCCAAAGGCCGGTACTACCAACCATACGACATTCCTGCTACTAATGGACGAAGACGAAGGCGTATGCCCAGTTCGAGCGACACCTTCCTCAGATCTCTGGCCCACGGCGAGTCTGGGAGGGCTCTGCATGCTCCACTACCACTCTGTTTGCTTAAAAGTAAAGGTGCCCAGTCCAAGTCTCTTGACTACCTTAATCTGGACAAAATAAGTATCAAAGAGTCATCAGACACTGAAGTGCTACAGTACCAACTGCAGCACCTCAACCTACGAGGGGAGCGTGTGTTTACCAGAAACAAGACATGAAAGCACAGTGAAACTTTTTTAGATGTGTTTCATCCTCTGGGGTATTTAGGTGCTATTTCTAGACTTGTTTCTTTCTACTATGATTATAAACAGTTCTTTAAGGAGACAGTCTGATGATAATCTTGTTCTATTATTAGTTGGGAGGTTTACCTTGTTCTGTATGCTTAGCATTATGAGGTTTTTGAGGTTAAAAAATTGAATTATATAAATTTAGCAATAACTGATGGACCTATTTATTGACAATTTTTATTGGCATTGTTGTGTGTTTGTAATGGTTGGATACACACTATTATACCAGCTTATAGCTGAGAAAGCACATATCACATACAGTATCAGCTTTAAAATGCACCGTTGACATCAATACAATAGTTTTACTGTGACTGTTCTTGTTTGTTTGACATTAAGGAACTGCATTTGGAGTTGTCAAATTAACAATATAACGTTATTGTATGTTGCACATTTATTTACGTATTTATTTATTGATGTAGTACTGTTGGTTTAGATGTCAATATGATTTCCACGCTCTAATTTACAGTAATGTAAGTAAATCAATTAAAAACAAAAAAAACATGCCACTTGAAGTTTGTCGTAATATAAGATATGCCATGTGCTTTTAAGAGGTTTTTTTTTTCTTCCTCTGATTCACAAATATAATAATTATCAGTGCTTACACTACCATTTAAACGTTTTGACACACCTTCTGATTTAATGGTTTTTCTTTATTTTTACAACTTTCCACATTATAGGACGAGTTGTGTTGTGCAGAAGTCAGGTTGGTACACAGCTGAGAGCCCAACTGTTAGAATTCATATTATGGCAAGAACCAATCAGCTAAGTAAAGAGAAACAACAGTCCATCATTAATTTAAGAACTGAAAGTCAGTCAGATGGAAAATTGCTAAAACTTCCAATACGTGCCCAAGTGAAGCCGCAAAAATCACTAAGCACTACTATGAAACTGGCTCGCATGAGGACTGCCCCAGGAAGTGACCTTTGCTGCTGAGGATAAGTTGATGCAAGTTAACAGCACCTCAGATTAGAGCCCAGATAAATGCCACACAACAGTCCCAGTAGCAGAACATCTATGTTCAAATTAGGCTTTTATGGTCAAATAGCTAAGAAACCAATACTAAGGAAAAGTAACAAGCAGAAGACATTTGTTTGGGCCAAGAAACACAAGGAATGGACATTAGACCCGTTGAAATCTGTGCTTTGGTCTGATGAGTCCAAATTTGAGATCTTTGATTCCACTCGCCGTGTCTTTGTGTGGGGCTGCTTTCCTGGTGACGTTGAAGGCACACTGAACCAGCATGGCTACCACAGCATCCTGCAGCAACACGCCATCTCATCTGGTTTGTGTTTAGTTGAACAATCATTTATTTTTGAAAACATTACAAGGACCCCAAACACACCTCCAGGTTGCACAAGGGCTATTTGACCAAGAAGGAGAGTGATGGAGTGCAGATGGCCTGGCCTCCACAGTCACCTGACCTAAACCCAAGATCATTTGGGATGAGAGTGAAGGCAAAGGGCCAACAAGTGCTCAGCATCTCTGGGAACTTCTTCAAGACTGTTGGAAAACCATTTCAGGTGACGACCTCATGAAGCTCATCGAGAGAATGCCAAGTGTGTGCAAAGCAGTAATCAAAGCAAAAGGTGGCTATTTTGAAGATTCTAAAGTATAAAACATCTTTTGAGTCATTTCACACATTTTTGTTTACTACATAATTCTACATGTGTTCATTCACAGTTATGGTGCCCTCAGCAAGAATCTACAATGTAAATGTTCATGAAAATAAAGAAAAACCATTGAACGAGAAGGTGTGTCCAAACTTTTGACTGGTAGTGTATGTACTTTCACTTTTGATTGAATCCAATAACTGATGAAAGGTGGTAAATATAAATGACAGAGGAAAGACATGTAAAATATCTCCAGTCAGACTTTAACTAAGGATGCTTCAATTATTTGGTCATCTCCTTAGACCGCTGGTATCGCTTACTAATGTGACTATGAAAGGCATGAGAAAGAATTTTAGAGGGATGCAGAGTTTGCCATGCTTCTTTAAGAGACTCAATTTGCAGCCACACTGGACAGAATGGAGGATTATCGTGTAGTTTGATGAAATTCAACCAAATGACCATGTGTCTTCCACTACAGATAGAGTGTGAGAGAGTGTCACTTCACTTCTTGTAAATCTTTATTGCTTATTGTAGCAAATATGTATCAGTGCATCATTTGTTTTCTGCATTGTTCATGACGGCAGTATGTACAGATGTGAGATGTGTTTTTAATAAGTGTGTAGATTTCCCTTACAGCTCGTAATGGTTGAGTTTTCAGTCCCTCTGTTGCAGAACACTTTTTTTCTGGACGTATTGCACTGTTGGATATGTGCTACAGACTGTCTCTGGAATTCTCTGCTTCTGTCACCACCATGGCACTAACTATGTGTTCCTATAGAAAACACTACAACAACAGTATTGTATATATAAGTAAGCCATTAAACACTTACAGATCTGTACACCCCTTGAGTATGCACCGTTGGACATGCTTCTTTGAAAGAATTGAAATTGTGAATTCTTGTTTCAGAACTTGTGTTTTTTGTTACATTTATCAGTGTAAAATTTATTAATTTAAGCTGTAACAAGCCTTTGTGAAATCTAAATTTAATGTTATAATGGCATCTCCCAAGTTCTGTTGCGTAAAATGAAATAATCTGAGGTGCAATCTGTGAGACCGTTTATCTCAACATTCTCAGGTCAGAGCCATAGAGCATGTCAGTCGCATTGCTGTATGCCACTGTAACTTTCTAATACAATCTGAGAGCCAGAAATTATGAATTATGATGAGCAATAATTATTACCATTTAAAACATCATAAATACTGTAATATTAATTATGTAATGATCAAAACAAGCACATTTCTAAATGAATTTAGCTTTTAGAAAGTGTTGTTTTTGTCTAAAAAGCTGTGTAAAGAAAGAGAATTTTGAGTTAGTTCTTTCTGAATATTTATAATACGAATATTCTCAACTTGGCCCAGACTCAGATGAAGCAAATTCAAATTGGGTAGTCTGCAAAATGTCCTTTCAACAAGTGTATTTTCATTTCTTTTTTAAGTGCATTTCACTTTATCCACAAATACTTGGTGGAAACAAAATAATAATGCAGTGGTTATGATAATATAACAATATAATTTAAAAAAAAAAAGACTTTCACATTTTTAATGTTGTTGTGTGAGCTGACATTAGTGATCTCTTAACATGTTACACTACACCTTCCTCTATGAACTTTAATGTTTGTCTTGATGGGAACAAATATTAATTAGCAATATGAGTGACTTAAGTTAGGTAAAAAATTTTACCTAAAAGAAAAACCTTTGGCAGTAGAGGATGTGAAATTCAGTAGTTTATACAACAGTTTAAATAGCCAGACAGTCTGTGATATGCTGTGAAAGGTAATGTAGATCTCCTGTGTAGCCAAGTTCTTTTTTGTACTTTATTGTGATCACTTTTTAAAATGTTCCTATTTCTTTCAGCTGATAAAAAAAAGAAGTTTTCTAAAGTACGATGGAGATCACTGTAAATGTTGCAGTAAAAGATTATTTGACAATGTGGCTGTATTGAAAGCTGCTTTTGGAGACACCCCAATAATGATTGAATATGATGACTTCATAAAGAACTTGGGTCACTTTAAAAAAAAAAAAAGTCATCCCACTATCTTACTTAGTTGCGCATTAAGTCTCAATTCTGAACTGCATGCAGTCACTTTAATAGAAGGTTGTGTGCAAGGGGCATGAACAGCTCACTGTCAGCTAGACTACCATGTAGAAGACACACAGCTCAGAGTGACTATAGTAGAAGGAACAAAATGTTCAAAGGCCAGTAATACAACACATAATACAAGACAATAAAATACAAGCAGAAAACTTGCAAATTGGAGAGGAAATTGCATCTCACTACATTAGAGGATCGTCATTTAGACTGGAAAAAATTCTACTCTATTCTGTTGTTCTACAAAAAAGCCCTACGTAAAGCAGGAATATCTTACTATTTATTATTCAAGAAACTCTATTAGTAGCACATCTCCTAATCCGAGGTTTGGTGGTTCAATCCCTGCATGTCAAAGTGTCCTCGAGGAAGATACTGAATGCAGAAAGAGTTCATAAATTAATTTAATTTGAATCATAACATTTGTAAGAAATGGATGGTAATTAAATATAAGAAGCAAAATCTCAGGACTTGATTGTAGAATTTATTACAGTGACAGTAATACATTTCTGTCTGTTCTACAGTGGGGGGGGGAAGTATCAAAAGGAAAACTGGTATAAAAACACCATATTAATATAAAAGCATAGAAATGTCAACATGTGATATAAAAAATTTAAAAAAATGAAACCTGCCCAAAGAGTTTTTGGAATTCACAACACAGTATAAATGAAGTACAGAACAAAATGGCTAAAGATTAAAGGGCAATTAGCTAAACTGATGTAATCAATATCTTTTTGTTTTCACTGAGTCTGTTGTTAATTTTAATCTTGTGAATTGTTTTACGAAGCTATCTAAAAACATTTTTTAACTGAAGTACGTGCACACAGAAAACAATAAAATGAGTCACATTTCCTTTAAGAAAATGAAAAATATCAGAAGTAATTTTATTAATATCCAGATATTATTTTGCCTATAAGCCTGATGTCACTGTCCTGCAAAATCCTCAGCATTCTTAAGTAGTTGGTGCTGTCTATAGAGACAGGCATACAGGACGTGTAAAGGATGCTTTCAAAGGAAAAGAACATTGTTGTTTAAAAACAATGAAAAGGTATAAGGTATTTTTAGGTATAAGATTAGTTAGGTAAAATAATACATCACAGGAAATGGAAACAAACATGTAATCCTTTTAATACAGTCTACACAGATGAAGGTGATCGATGTGATATTTGAACCGTTTAGCGATGTACTGACTTTTCCCATGTGACTGTTTTTTAATCATAATAAAATTTATTTATAGAGTATAAATTTTACGCCTCATTTGTTTGCGTATACAACCTTGATCTAAAAAATTAGAATCCATTGCAAAAATCCACAATGAATTATAAAAAATGAACAAGGCTGAAAGTAAGCAGTGTAAAAAAAGAGAAGAAAGAAAAATCAAATAAATAATCTTGTCCCTCACATATGGAAAGTATAGCAGTCTGCAAACAGGAGGCTTAATCAGTGATCCACAAGATTCTGTCAGTATTTACAGACACATGTTCATTCACATTCTGGTCTCTTCTGGTGGTCCATTCATGTAGTGCTGAAGTGCCTGGTGTAAAGGCAGCCACTTCTTTATTGAAGCTTTGATAGCTATAATCCATCTGTAAAGAAAAACAGAAACGTCAACATGACAGCATCTTTCAACTGTTGTTTTAAAAAATATATATATTTAAAAAAGCTTATGTACGAGATAGTTTGCTAAATCCTGCAATTGTCGTCTAATTTAAGCAGCACACTGGGATAGAGAGTGGAGAGTCGGAGGGCAGAAGCAGCAGCAGCAGCACACTGAGAAGCAGACACAACAAAAACACACTAGAAAGATGTCTTTGTGTACAAATAGAGTAACAGAATGTCACCACAGTCCCTGGCGTTGTTGGGTCAAATAGAAGACGCTGTTACAAGTCAGTCACTTTTGATACCTAAACCGCACTCATACAAAGCTCTCTTATACTGACACAGGTGTACTAAGTGCAAGATCACAGGGGTTGCTGTTCCTAGTACTAAGAAGACATGCTGGTCAGCCAACAAGCTCACGTACTAAGCCTGTGAATAAAACAAGAGTCAGTTCCTCACCGTTTATTTTCATTTGCGTTTTCAGCACACAGGTAGAAAGTTCTGAACTCATCAGATGGAGGTTTCAGCTCAATGATTGAATTCTTGGCTCCATAAGACTGCTCTCGCACCATGTAACCCTGAAGGTAGATGCCACCTGAAGAAATGATGATAAGATGAATATATGTTCCATTTTTTTCACAAATGTAGTCACAATGGAAGGTCACCAGACCAGATCATTCATTCGCAGCAGCAGGTCATGTATTTGCTTTCCTTTTTCAATCAAAAGAGCAAAACCACCTTTCAGCATTTATTATAAAAATAATTTCATTTAACTGGTAAGTGGTTATGCAGACACTTGAAGTGAGATTTTAAGGGACAAAACACTGTGAGACATAACCAATAGGTTTGAGTGATTGGCTTACTTGTCCTTACCTAAAAAATAAAAATGGGAATAAACATTAGTGACATTTTACATTGTATTTATGTCATTACATTCATGCTGGTAAGGCATAAAACTAATATGAAACAGAAAGTAAAAAAGCTCCACGGTGGCTGTTACAATAATTTATATAAGACCAAGGTGAAAAAGTATGTTTCTGTACTACAGTTTCTGGCCAATTAGAGAAGAGTGTATACAATAAATTGTTTCTCACCATTGCACACAGACCTGTTTTAGAACATCTGTATCATGTTGAACATGGGTCTAACAAACCCACAGAGATCCATTATTTAATATACAGAATTCCTTTGAGCCTTTATTCGATCCTTATTTTGATTCACCAGTTCATGAAATAGGCTGTCACCAACTTGCCGCTTGCTGTGGATGCACATATATATATATGAGCTGAAAATCAGCCTTGTTGACTGTTGCCAGCTTATCAGAAACAGCCAATGCTGATGATAGCGCTGATTTTTTTTGTTGTGTCACATTAACGTTTCCCCGTCAAGTGTGTTGTTGAGATAAAGAGCATGAACAAAGTTTATGAGAACAGTATTTTTTAGAGTGAATATTTATTTGTTTCCCCAACATAAAAGAGGAATAAAATAGGACAAGAATAACATGACCAAAGAGTTAAAAATTTTCACAGACAGATTTTAAAACACTCCTGTGGCAGTTTATTTACTCCTATAGAAATGTATAGGTTATAAAGTCATGATAACTGACACAAATAAACCTATTAATGAAAATGAGCGTATAGTTTGCTTTTCTAATGAATATACCAAGTTTTGCTATGAGATTGGCTTTGAATTTAAAAACTGGGGCATTAGCAGTGTCTCTAAAAAACTCGATTGAATTCCTAATACACAGAGGAGCAGATAAGTAATAATAACACCACTCTAAATGTACAGACGAGTACTAGGGCCACATTAAGAAAAAAGAATATTATTGATCATTTTAAGACTAAAGTTACACTTTTGACAAAAGTAATTCTATTTTGAGAAAAGAAGTTGAATTTCTATTTCTATTCCTATAACTATTACCTTTAGTGTACAGAGACGAAAATATTTGCTATTGCATAAAGCTCAGTAAGCTGTTAATTCACCTGTAGTACACTCCCGATCAAAAGTTTAAAATCATATTTTGCAGGGTCTCTCGCAGCGCACCATCACGGCTGAGGTGGGATGCAGTAAGACAGTCATTTGGAATTTCTTAAATGATCCTGAGGGTTATGGAACAAAAAAGTCAAGTGGAACACCGAAAAATATTTCAC